TGCAGCTGTATCGAACAGTTTACCAGCACCACAGAACGCAGCTCTACCAGCTGCAACGTCGTCGGTGAACAATCCAGCAGGAATGATGAATGCGAAAAAAGAGATGATGAACAATGACGGATCATCAAAAGGAGTCGACGGAAAGAAACGCGATTAGGGAGATTATCTCATTTTCATTTCTATTTATTTTGTTTACAATGCAAAAAAAATATCTCCTCCTGTTTAGACTTAGTTCACGTGTTTTTTTTTCTTTTTCTTTTTTTCTTAACCTTCGAAATTCTTCTAATCTCATAATAAAGATTCTTTGAAATCAACTTCCTACTGCAAGCAATAATGTATCGTTGACAAACGTTAGCGTCATCTCGTCAAAATTTTACAATAAGCTCACCTATCTACCATCTACGAACATTATTTGTCTTTGCAGATAACATGCCATATTTACTATTACTCTCTTCTCCTCAGTGAAACATATCGATGTCTGTCTATTGTAATAATTGCTTTTGTTGCGGTCGCCATTTGGTGCCCAGATACAAACGATTGGTCAATAATATCTTCTCACAAAATCCACAAGTACATTGCAGATGAACTTGTTGATTTGTAGTGTCTGATTTCATATGTTTAGCATAGTCCCGATAAGAACAATTTGGAGCGATTACGATTTTATGCTGTACATAAACCGGAAAAATTGGATAAGTCGTTTCGATACATGTCGGAAAAGATTACACGTTATTTACGACATCGAAATCGACCGTGTGTAATAAGTTTTCATCGAATACTGTATGAAAAGTCTTTGCTCGTCTAGATATGTCATTCTTGGGATAACTGCAATGACTGACACGATGAAATCCTGTTACCAACAGTTGAATACATTTATTGATTGGTATTTGGTAACACTTCATTCAGTATTAGAAGAGAGAAATGATTTAGAATTAACTGAACACGTCATTGTTTCGGTAAGTGACAATTGATCGAAGAGCACATGTCATTTTCTTTCGAAGTTCGAAGCATTCTGCGAGATCCGCATCGAAGCACCAAATTATCAACGAGATTACGAATTTTTCGTTGATCGTTTCACGCAACTTTGTCATAATAACTTTCCACAGGACGAAATCAAGTACGTGTTCAGCTGCTTCACGATCTTTCCTTCACGTTTCTATTAAGATTTCGATATCTCGGTCTCCGTGGTCACCAGGCATTGATACGAAAGACAGCTAGTGATGATCTGCACAATAATATTTGGGTACACATGAATCAAATTGTTCCTTCAATTTTATTCAATATGGAACGACGCAATGTTCATCAAACACAGGAATCAGCCAATCAAACGACAACAGTTTCAGATGATCACGCTATTATCGCCACTGATAAAATCACTAAAGATGATCTTTCTTCTCTGGCTGATACCATACTACGAGATTTATTTAGCCGAACGCATATGAATAACATGTCTGCTTGTTTTCATCCTATTCTCACGTACGACACGCGATTGAATAACATTCATTGTCTCTGTTTAGTTATCTAGATGACCACAATCAATGGACGCCAGTTGATTTTCCACTCTATATCTTTTCTGCAATAATGGTCTCCATTAAGGTACCTCATCTGACAGCATACGTTCGAACGGTTTCTATTTGTTGTTTAGAATCATAATAGCTATATAATTGTTGATTTGCTGCTGAATCATTTGGAAAAGAAGGAAACTGAACATGTCAGAACTCCGATTATGAATGTAATTCATCAATGTTTAGTTTTCGCTGCAACGAACAACGAAGCTCGTATGATGGAGATCGACAAATACGTTTGCGTTCCTTATGCTGTCTGCTGTTTTAGGTTCAACAATATTTACTGGAGTATCACGTTTACTAAGATGTCTAGAGAAATCATTTTACACCGGAAGCAAATTATCCGAAGCATCAGTAGATTTTCAACATGAAAAAAATTTCCAAAATGCAATCATCGATGGCATTCGTAAGGACTTTTTTTCTAATCTAGCAACCTGTATTTTCGTCGTGCATATTTTATCAGGAGATTTTACAGAAAAATTACCTGATTTTCAAATGATCGAAATCATGCATAACATTCTGATTTCATTATTGCCATTGAATTATAAATATAAAGAGCAAACCAAACGCATCCGGTAGGTAATTGTCATTCCTATTCGAATGGAAGACAACGAAACTCTATTTCAGAGATGCGAATATCCAATTTCAATTGCTACTTCTCGAAACAATACAAAAAGTATGTTGTGAACCTTTTCTTATCTATCGCTTTGTAATAGATCATTCAAATTTAGCTTGTCGTAACTTATCAATCGATACAAAACGATGAAACAACGTTTCCTCATCAATTATTCGATCCGTTACTAAAACTAATGCGCATTCCCACGGCAGAAATTCGCTGGTTTGTCCTGCAAATCTTCGTTTCACTCATCGATAAACGACACTATGCTCATAAATTGCGTAAAATCAGGTATAAACTTTCCATTCGATCTAAACTCGTAAATAATCAACTTCTCTATTCGAAGAATATCGAAAGATATTGCTCAATTAAATTTACCAGCGATGACAAAACCGACTCAACTCGTTGATATTTCATTCATGAAAAAAGTAATTTACACTTTCAATTCGAACATTGAACAAGCAACTTTGATTTTCAGTACGGTTCACAATTTCTTTCTCAACTTTATGATTGTCTACTAATGGACAATAACACCAAAGATATTTTCTATACAATCCATTGTCTGATGAGTTTAATTATTTTTGAAGATGATGACAAAGATATTCTGGTTGATATGATCCATTTCTGTATAGAAATTCAAGTAGATCTTCAACGAACTGGAAAGTACATCGAGACGTCATCAGCGTTTTTTTTTAGAAACAAATTCTGGTAACTCCCAAAGAAGAATCCAAACAACTTTCGACAACAACTTGTTATTGTATTCACGCGTTAATTGCTGCTTTCCTTAACACCCTATCCAAATTATACAAAGTTACCACCTTCTCACGCTACGTTGATGACGTAAGTTAAAGGCTCTGCTGTTTTTGACAACTAATTATAAACGTTTTAGTTCAATCTCTTCAAATTAACATTCGCCATCATTCAATTTATCCAACTCTATTTTAGGTGATTTCTCATCGTGAACAGCGTGCACCGTACTTACTTCCGCCGAATGCCTTTCATTCCTCGACAAGAGAGACTTCATCTAAAGAAATACCAAAGGAATGTTTATTTTCCGAAGAAATAGTTATTCAAACACTAAAAGCATCGGATTATGATTTATCACGATTTCAACGTACTATAAATTACGATTCAGGTTAGTTAACAATTATTATAAATACTTAGATTCGGAGACACATTAGTTGGATTGTTCAATGTCATCACACGTGACCGACGTCGTAAAATATTCGGTAACATACGAAACGGTTGACATTGCAGAATTGCTACGATGTGAAAACGGTATTTTTCATTAGTTGACATATAACAAAATGGTTTTAGCACATGGCACAGCAGATAAATGTCTTTAATTGTGTACGACCATTGTATCGTAGTCAGCTCATAGAGCCAATAGGGTATATGAACGAGAGCATAGATCAGCAGAAGAAGATGAGTGGATTTCATTAATGTATGACTATTTTCGATGATGGTTAAATAAGTTAAATAATCAAATACTTGAAATGATCGTTGGGTAGTGGGCGTCATGTCTGTCGCTATCGATGTAGCATGTGAGACATTATGTGTTGGAGGCGTGTACATTGAACGGCGGCTGATGTTTTCAAGATTATTCTGAAATTTACAAAAAAAAAATCATGTTGATAGTTTATCTCCCTTGAGAATAGCATGTTTTCTTCGACGTCATAGAACTCGATGGCATGTTCTTACCTGATCATATAATAAGATTTCTTGTTGAACACTTCGAGTTAGATTGGCGGCTTCAGTGATATTTTTCAAGCTATTTCGTTTGTATCGTTTGATCGACCATTTCATTTGAATAAGCAAAAGAAACTGCACGAAGATAATCAAATAAGTAGCAACGCAACAAATCATGTTCAACGTTCGATAGGTTGAAATAGTAATATAGATAAATATTTGTTTACAGGATGGCGGACGTTGTTCATACTCGTATTCATTAATATCAAGTTGAGTTAATGTCGTGGCCAAGTACATAATGAGCAATGGTGTCATGATTAATAGAGAGAAAAAACTTAATTTAGTTGTGGATATATGTTTTTTACAGAAGAATGCCACCGATGTAATGACTAGTAGGCTAGTAACAATGATTTCAATGATTGTTGTTAGTTTATCGAAAAATTTCAATATGAAACAGAGAAATACACACGGCAAACCTTGAGAAATGTCGATGAAACGTAGTGGAATAACGATATTACAAACGAATATATCATTGATTAACAACGCGAGAATGTACTTATCAAATGTCGAGATTGACGAGCGTAGAGCAGGTAGTAAGGGCGGGCGAATCATATGACCGTTGACGGATGGATTTTGTCTTAACAATGATATATTCGTTGTTGAACTTGGGATTCGATGAGATTCTTGATGGTAATGATAAGTTTTCCGTTGAATAGCTAAGATTAACAGCCAATTGAATATAATTCCGATCAGACTGATCAAAGCTAAGAAGATCAAGTGAAATACAAACATGATTGAATCTCGTCGTGGTCGTTGTCGTGATATTCCAGTGTGTGTTTGTATGTTTTATTTACTTCTTTTCTCCTGCTCTTCTTCTTTTTATGTTGATATGTGAACTGAATTGTCGTTGTTAGTGTTTTTCCTTTTGCATTCGTTTGTCGCAAGAAAAAGAAAAGGAAAATAAGAACAAAAGGAAATCTCATATAGGAAGAGAAAAAATTTCTGTATGAGCTGCTCTTATTTCTATTTAATCTTCTTCATGCACATATTAGTAGCCACTATGAACACGAGAAAAGCACATTCATCATTTTTCCTATATGCGAGAGTAACTTTAGCTTTTTCTGCTCTTTTCCATGTCATCTGCAATAATTGAATTGGGAATGCGTTTTCATATTATAGAATCTGATGTTCCCGACAATGAAAATCAGAACGACTTGGAAAATGACGATTCCGCAAGCATTCAAGTAGATCTCACCGTAAGAGAAGAGTCTGCCAAGGATAAAAATAGATGTATAATTAGCAAATATGTTTTAGAATAATGAAAATCGAAATGAATCAATCAATCCGACGATATATGAGAATTCTTCGGTGCTCAAAGACTTTCGTTCGAAACGATTTCATGAATTGAAGTCTCTCGCTCATGAAAAAGTAAACACTCTCGTTGCTGATCAACAATATCACTTTTTCGTTTAGCAAATAAAAGTCAATCAACGGCTGGAACAAGTACTCAACACACGTAACTCATCGAGAGAGAAGTTGTCAACTGCAACACACATGGATAACTTTCAGTATCCTCAACTTTTTGTCAACTAATGATGTTATATTTAGTTTTCTGTTATTCAGTCACGATGTAATCTGGGAAAGGATTTTTTCACCGGAAAGAAAAACTTTTATTAATGATGATTAAATAACCACCTGCTAGTTCTTTTTTTTTTCAAGATAAAAGAATGTCACTGCATAGAAAATCCTGTCGTTGTTTTTTCTCTTACTCTTGAAATCCTCATTAGCTAATGAATAAATGGATTGTTGAAATCGTTACAACGGTTACTCAATCGATTCTCCCCTGATTAAACATCAAGTCAGTGCAAGACTATGTTTGTATAGAAAATGTTAATAAAATAACAGGTACGGCATTGTTCTGTTGTCTGTCAAGTATGATGAACTTGTTTGTATAAGTGTCAGTCGAAAGGTCAACATGTATGTAACAATCCCTGATCGATTCGGGCCTGGAAACGACGATTCCACCAAACATAGGACATTATTGAAACAGTGCAGATAGTTTAAAACAGTTCTGTTTGTATTAATAATTATTGGTTCTGATTGATTGATGCTATTAATAAAGTCAGTCAAGTACGTCTAATCGGTAGCCTTTGCCTAGACAAGGTTTAACCGTTAGTGCTATTGACATATGTTTTAAGCACTTCAAATATGTATATATACAAGCAAACATTGAGTTTGTTTCGCCAATATTTCCGTGTAATTCTATTAGATGCCGTCTCATAAACGTAGTATGGAAGTCAATGGATACTGACTGAATGCTGTGCAAACGCGAAGAAATGGTATTACGTGCAGGTAGGCGTGTACGGATGAAAAATTGCACTGAGTGAAGAAATCCCGTTTGAATACGAATGTCTCTGGTTAATACCAACGATGATTTTGTATTTCTTGTTTGTTCTACGTAGAAAACTGTGATCTTGGTATTTTTGGAAATAAGTAGAGCATTTACTGTTGTTACAGTTTTTAAATAGATTTCAAGTGTTCTGAAGAGTACAAGAACACCTTCAGAAGTAGAGAGAACTCTCAAATTGTCTGACGATCAGCGAGTACTCTTCTCTCTAATTGAAGTAGTCGTATTTCGAGAACCACGCTAATTTGTCTTGACTCGTTCGAACCGCACCCAAGCAGACAGGGTTTTCGAAAAACGCGTTTTCACGATCAAAAAGTGTTCTTTACACGCTAAAAACGCCGTTTTCATGGTGTAAAGAACACTTTTTGATCGTGGAAACGCGTTTTTCGAAAACCCTGTCTGCTTGGGACCGCAACACCCATCTCACAACGAGACCGTTATGCTTAGATAAATCTTATCACTTTTTTTCAACACCAGAAAAATTGGGCGTTCTGTTGAGAATCTAATTCGTACAGTTATCCATGAACCTGTATCCAAGAAGTGTTCCCAGTACGCATAATGCAATATTTCTCTCATTGATCGAATTCTCTTGAGAGTTATTTCAGTTCTTTATACAAGATCAATATTGCAATCGTTTCCAATCCTAATCAAATGATTCTTTCGGCAATATATGCGAAGTGTTCAACTCATTTGCCATTCAAATGTACATCGAATAAGATTTCTTCTCGCGCAAATTACTGCACAATTTTCTCGAACAAATGTATAATCAAATCGACCTTTACTTTCCTATGTTCAACGATAAAATATAATTATTCCAATTGTTGATTGCCTCGAGCTGCATACTTTCCTTTTTTTTTGTTTGTCTTTGATAATGTTCATGCCTTCGAGCGCGAATCCTCCTGCTAAACTTTACACAAGACATTTTTATTCTGCTCGTCAATGATCAGGAGGGAAATGTTAGAAAAGAATCAGTTACTTCCGTCTATCGTCAATCGATTGGTCATTGAACATGAGTTAAGACACTGTTCTGAGGCGTGCGTGTGCCGAGGTCGTTGACGACTGGGAGAACATTCTCTGGAAATCGAACTTCACTTGCTAGGCTTTGATGTCATGATTGTGTGTTCTGGAAAATGGAACAATAGATGCCTGAGAACAATTCTCGTTGAAGAGAAGCATTACAAGGTCTTTACAAGTTATATATATATTAAAGAGCAGGAGAAGAAGAAGAAGGAAAGGCGTAAGAATAACGGGAAAAAATGTTTGGAAGATCGCTAATGGTAGTGTTCAATAGGGAAGAGAAACGAAGACGACGGAGAGAATTAGGCAAAAGTTATGTAATCATTTGCACCGGTACGACAACGATGTTAGGAAAAGAAAAGAAGAGAAAATAGCAATAGTAAAATCAACAACTTTTTTTAGCTACGATTCGCTCTGATAGAAAGAACAAACGTAAATAATCATTGCGTCAATATGTAGGATCGATATTGATAGCTCTGTTTCAAACGAAGCATTCTTATCAAGTAGAAAACATAGGTAAGAGGAGAGATGAATAGTACGTGTCATTCTAATGAACAAAAGAGAGTATGAATAGTTGTTCATTTGCGTTTCACAAATGTATGATGTAACTAATGTGCATGATCGTGTCTTATTCGACGAACGAGATGAATGACAGACCAGTCAGCAGTCATACAAGAAAAGAAATGAGTGCGAATGAAATGATCCATCTGCATTTCTCAGTTGGTAATCTTTACTTCTGTTGTGTTCCAAGGACAAGTCAATTCTCGACTTTATGAATTTTCCGGGATTGAAAAAAAAGAATGAGAATTGCTTTGTCCTTGTTAGCTTTCTATTTCTCAGTGAAGTGAGCCAAAGGAGAAAGTTTTCCTCTTCGAACAGAGAAGTACACGCTAATTTTCTTGTTTTGTCTAATACTGTGATATATTTGTTTAATGAAGCACATAACAGTGCTCATTGCTGTCTGATGTGTGTATATATATATATATGAGCACACGTGGAAAGAGAATCGATCATAGCTACTATTCTCAGTATTATTATTTTAGCTTGATCTCATCATCAAATGTTTCTGTTTGACTAGCCAGATTNCTTCGATGTCCATTAGGAAATCTATGTGTACATGGAACTTGTCAAAAGATCACCAATGAATTCTATCAATCAATTTCGATGAATATTGTTACAATTTCCATTATCGTCTCATGTTTAATTATATTCATGATAAGTGCCATTCTAGGAATTGGTATATACATATTACGTCGGCAACGGTGGAAAAAACATTACCATTCACCAATGAGTTCAATCTGCGCCAAGCAACATCCAATGAGTCTACCAGCGATCAGTGATTATGATAATGTAACTTATAGCGCGTTTCATGCTAATGTTCAACTTTCATCGAGTGACGATAATGATAGTTCGCCAATGACAACATCGGATGAATGTTCATACGAACCGAAAATAGTTTACCTTGGTGGTGAACAACAATTAACGGCAATATTTGCTTGAAATCAACTAGAAAGAGTTCTCTTCTGCTTTGTCCTTGAAATAAATTATTTCATACATTTCTTTTTGTGTCTGATCAAACAATGCTTTCAAAGGATTAGTGTGAATAGCAAAATAATAGATGAGATTATTACTCGACAGTAACCACTTGGAGATTGATTTGGCCTCTCATCATCGAGAATATGCACTTGAGAATAGTTCATTTTATCATCTGGATATTAGAATAACTTTGAACTTTGATTAAATCCAACTGGCCAAGTTCGACTTCCCTCGAGCAGATTTCGTAAAACCTTCGTTTTCCTCGTGCATCTGCATGCAAGCAGATAGTTATAAAATTCCGAACACTCATTGTCATACTTTCAATAGTCTCGCGCGTCGCGAAGCAAGTTATTCAAGATTGGAGTCTGTCTCATTAATATAAGAATAATATTTATCATGTTATGACAAAGACTTGTCCCAGTTAAAGGATCGAGTGTCTTCGAACTCCGTTGATATTTATTTACCTCGGAAACCCGTTCTCACCAGTCTAGTCAATATAAGACCAGCCAGTACTTCCTGTTCGGAGACGTTACAGCAATTTGTCTACTTTTATTTTCATTGAAGCAAACACGAGTTTTTCTTACGATAGAAAGTCAAAACGTAAATGACGTGCTGCTTTGCACTTCTCTCCTCGGCTGATTGAATTGTCTCGCATGTGTTCTGTCAATCTCTTTTTGTTTCCACATAGCTCGCCTGCCTCTTTTTCCTTTTCTTCTCCTTCTTCTTTTTTTGTTTTGTGGGATCAAAAACAACTCTCCGACAGTTGTTCGCTTTATTGAATGACAACCTCATCTATTTAAAATGAATACCACCAATTATACAACTAATAACGGTGACGAATTCTCGCATAAACTCATCTTTATCCAAGGATTGATTTACATTCCAATTCTATGTACTGGAATTGTCAATAATCTGTTCACTATCATAGTCATGCTATCAAATCGAGAAATGTATACAGTTACCAATTGTTATCTCCTCAATTTAGCTATTAGTGATACTTTACCGTTAATTATTAGTTTACCATTTGAAATTACGGTAGGAAACTTTTAGTATAAGACGATAGTCGAGATTCGCGTATTTGTTTTAGTTTTTGCGCATCCAACTTCCATGGAACAAGATCGGCTGTAAACTTCGGAGTCTACTCGCTGAAACATCGACGAATGCATCGATTCTAACGATCAGGTAAAGAAATGAAAATGTGTGAAGATCTCATCTTCTTTGTTTGACACTTTCTAGCGCGTTTACTATTGAACGTTATTTAGCAGTTTGTCGTCCGTTACATACGTCTTATCATTCAACTACACGACGTGCTATTAAAATCGAATTTCTCATTTGGTTCGTTGCCGCAACGTCTTCTATTCCATACTTTCATTTCATCGAACGAATCGATAATGATTGTAGGTTTAATGTCGACTTGCGCTCTTCGATTCAAATATGTTTTCATATATCTGCGATAGTATTCTTCGTCTTGCCCGCATTCATTCTCTGTTTCTTGTATGCATTGATGGCACAACGCTTGTATTCAGTTGGTTTAATTAATCGAATTCGATGGTCAAAATCCAGCGGAACGGAATCTTGTTCGTCACCAAGATGTTTACAAAAGATTGAGTGTGACAATGTGAATCCCAAATGTCAACGACATTCGTCAACGTCTTCAATACTAATTCGGCACTCGTCGATCCTGCGCTCTAACAAAAGTTCTCTTCCTGGCTCAATTAATCCAACTCCATCAATGAAAATCTCAGCATTTAAAATGCTTTGTAAGTAGTTAGAATCTCGTATAATTCTACTTAAGTAGACACTACTGTTTCAAAAGGATTCATGATCGTGACTACGACAAAGAATAAGCAAATGCTCACTTGGTTATTATGTCGTGCTCTTTTAATTCGAGTTATTTTCAGACACAAATATTTTTATAAGTTCAAGATCAGATTGAATAATTATCTTCATTAATCTCCTTATTAAAACTCGATGTTTTTCTATCTATAGACGTTGATGCTTCCTTTTATGCCATGTTCGATATAGGAGAGCTTCAATTATGAGACAATTAGAAAAGAAACAGAAGAGAGTAGTCTATTCACAGGTAGGAATGACGCGGAACGGTTTCAATTGAATACATCGATCGACTTCGATTACAAAGTTAAGTCGAACTAATTATCTGTTCAAAACAAAATCTGATGCTTATGTTATTGGATGAGAGAAGTGATATTTCAGAAGGGTTATTTAAGATGCGGTAGAGCCATGCAACTATCGTTGATGTTAAAAACTCCTTTTGTCCTATAGTAAATAGATAAAAATGTCTAATCTTTCATGAACTCGAAAACTCTTATGTTACTCGACATTCTTCTTTTCGAAATACATTTTTCTATGATCAGGCACTGTGATTGCATTATTGATGATGTGTTGCCATTGTCTATTTTCTGTGATGTTTAGTTGCGGTTGTTATTGCTTTTATCATCTGTTATGCGCCATTTCATGTTCAACGATTAATTACGAGTAGTCTACATCACAATCATCTCACTACCATTCAGCAACGTGCCATAACTATTTTTTACTTTATAAGTGGAGTGCTCTATTTTCTTGGTGCATCTATTAATCCGATATTCTATCATTTGTACTCTCGACGATATCGGCAAGCATGTCGACGTACGATAAGACGAATTCTACACTGCCAACAACAGTATCATCATCGTCATCATTATCATCACCATCGCAATCATTCTTTTCGTCAGATTCAGTATCGCAAGACCGAACAATTGCGACCTTTTACACGTCTCATTGGCTGTGCAAATAATGATTCAGTTGTTTTGCCGAAAATTGAAGCGATCGATCGACTGACACCTAAATACCGAAGTAGTTGCGATCTAAGCATCAAAACACAACATCGATGGAGTTGTTCATTGCCGGACTTATATATAAGCTCGGTTAATGCATAAAGAATTTATTTTTGTTTCTGTTGCATAAGGAATAAAAACGAAGAACGAAATGTAGAAGATGAGGGATTTTTAGTTGCCATAGGTACTGTTGACGGAAGCTGCATCATCAAAATCATCATTAGCAGGTGTTGGACGATTTTGTCGGTAGTTCGATGAAGGTGGCATGGCTCTTCGACGAGCTGGATCAAGTGTTGAATATGTATTTGCTCGATTCGGTGAAAGATTTGAATATCTCTCTTCCTGATCATCTTGAGATCGAGTTTGCCGTGAGTTAATCGTATTCCTCGATATGTTGTCATAGTCTGCTGATGCATACGAACTTCCATCCTCGTAGTCATCATATTCATAATCTCCCATATCGTCTCCATAGATGTAATAGCGATAGAAATCACCAATGGGCATCGGCCCATCGAGCGTCACAACTGCGGCATCTTCATGAATGACATTAAAACGTTGTTTCGGTGGTCGATACCAATCGAATGGTGCATGTCGATAACCGGGCAATTCACGTGGAACATGTCGAAATTGGCCATACATTCGTGAATTGCACACGCTCTCCATAGTCGTCGTCAAACAGGCACTCATAAAATTCGGTGGACAACACATCGGAGCAGGCTGAACTGGCATCATTGGCACCAACATCTGCGGCATGACTGGTACAAGCATTGGTTGAGAACCGCACACAGGTAACATTGAACTGCTTTCAATTAGTTCTGATTCTAGTTCGTTCAGTGAAATATAATTTTCAAATAAAAAAAAATGTAAACCAAGAATAGGAGGAACAATTCATCCGTAACACATGACATTCATATTTATTTCATTGGACAGTGTGCTGCACAGAATCAATATCCGTACTTGACAATGAATGACGTTCATATATATTCAATAGGAGTATAGAATGTAACACCTATCATATTCATTTTTTTCGTTTAAATGTAAAAATTCATGTGATAAATGAGAGAACTGAACAGAAATCATTAACGTGAACAGCAACAGATTACAATAATTGCATGAATGACACCTTCGAATATGTTCAGAAAATGATCTTGTATGCAAAACAAGAATAGATATCTACCTGGTACATAGCCGATCATTGTTAAAAGAATGTTTAAACTAACCATCCATGAGCATATTTTATTTCGAGCAAGAAATACACTAATAGGAGGCATAAGAAAAGCCTACAAGGGATACAAGAGCAGAATTTATGAGTAGATCAGTATATGTAAACGAACCAGAACAATGAGTATAATTTTACCGATAAGACTGAATAACATATTTAAATAAAATGTGTGAAATCTAGAAAAAGAAAATGTCTGTCTTTATTTGGAAGGTCTTCGAAGCCAGTCTCCACTAGGAATTCGTATCCAACTCTGATCTGGTACTTTTAATTTCGGCACATAGATGTAAGCATGTTTCATTTCATTGTCATTGACTAACACTTCGACTATTTTTCGTTCATAATCATCACCTTCGATCGAATCTGCTTGAATTATTTTCTGCGCAAACTGTTCTCTCGATGGCCAACCTAGAAGACGTACAACGATCCTATCACTTGAGTTACCTACGTTACATAACAAAACAAAAATGTAATTATTATTACAATCAAACGGAACACACCGGTATAAATAGCAAACGGGTAGGTTAATGATGAATGAGCAAACAATTGGTATCCGGCGAGTTTGCCAGTAATTGCAAGACTGATATCCTTGAAATGTATCAAAAAAAGTTTAGTTCAACGCTCGAAAAAATTTCAAGAGATACATTAGTGAAATTCTTTGCCCATGGCGCATCGGTATCATTATCATCTCGTAGCGTACCATAGGTAGCTAATAGTTCAATGGTGCTAGGTTGTTTCAAGTCAGTTGACATCGTATACGAAGCAAATGTGAATCTTTCTGTTGACTTGCACTGTGCGTTCGTACGTCACAAGTGCAAATATGGTATTATGTGGATTGATAACTACTTTTGGATGTATCTATATAAAACATAGTTTTATGTTGATATATCACCTGTCATACGATACAACATGAATGTCGAAGCACTGTATTCGACACACAGCGAAAGAGAAATGTTGTACTGTTCGGAAACATCACGATACTTTTTCGTTTCGATCAGTGTGCAAGTAGTTCATAATGAAAAAAGAATCAATTATCAACGTAGATAAAACTGATTTGAGCGTTGATGCATAGATTTCACTATTTCGCTTGAAAATGTTCGTCGAAGTTCAGTACTTATTCGCAGTGTATTCCATCGTGTGAGAATTTTCTTGTTAATGGCATGTGAAAAAACGGATCTCTCTTCGAACAAATAGAGCTCTTGTGTGTCGTTCTAAGGAGCTTGAAAGTTTTCGACGTAAGAAGAGCTTTTGTCATACCAATAGACATCGATTATTCATCTCCCCAATCGAGTAGAGCATCATTGGTTATTTCGTACCAATGACTACAGTGGATAGTAGAGACAGGAACTAAACTAATATATTAATACAAAAGGGTTATTTATCAAAAATCTTCAATTTCTTATTTGAATTCGAGAGCAAAAGTTGGAGAACCTAACCGAACTATTAGTGTCCTCTATACCAAGAATAAAAACAAACGCATAGTGGTGGTCGAAATCCTTATTTTCCACCGTCGCCACTATCAAGGTTAATCATTTGTTTAGTTTTGATCAAATCATTTGCAGAATGTTATACATTTAATATTGCTCGAATCGTTTCATTCAATTACAAATGAATCGTGCATTGCAAACAATATGTACTCGTTTCCTAACGCGTCCTCTCCTTCCAGTGTCGAGTGTGAACTTCATTCCATGTGCTGGAATACGACATCATAAACTAACCGACCAACACATGAGATTACGATACAAGAAACTTCATTGGCACAAGTTTTATGACGATAAATGGGTTCAACGACGTGGAGGCGGGTTGGTCTGTTTGATTAGAATATTTTTCAACTTAATAACTCTAATTCATTGTTCGTTTTTAGATGGGATGAAAAACTCACACCGGAGAATATTTCGTTCATGCAAGAGGTCGTTCATGATACATATGCCAATGAAGAAAGTCCACTGAAAGACGGTCCCTGGAAACATGGAGAATACACAACCAACCCAGAGACAATTCGTACTGGTGTTCTCGGTCTTAAACTAGGAACATTACCACAGTGGAATAAAAAGGGTCAAAAGTTTTATGTCACAGTAGTTCAAGTAAGACTATTTTCCATCGATGAATGCCTGGAAAAGATGTATATTCTAGATTATTGACAATCATGTGATTAACTATACACCGCCTGAGATGATCAATTTTCGAACATTATTTACTACTCGTCCGTTACGTCGCGATCTCCATGGAAAAGTCGGTATGCTTGTTGTCGGTGCCCTATCTTGTGATCCTAGGAAATTTACTCGAGCTTATAACGGTTTATTTGAACAAGCTGGTGTACCGCCCAAACGTAAATTGACTCGATTTTTTGTCACGCCAAACAGTGTAATTAAACCTGGCACCCCGCTCTATGCCACACACTTTCGCTGCGGAGATTACGTAGACGTACAAGCACGTTCCATAGATTATGGTTTTCAAGTAAACAGTCGAATTGAATATCGATATCACGAATGAATTCTTCGTTTTCTATAGGGTGTTATGCGTCGGTACGGTTTTCGTGGTGGTCCTAGTGATAAATACGGTGCAACGAAATTTCATCGTAAACGTGGTACCGTTGGTTCAGGTCGTAAACATCGAATTCTACCTGGAACACGAATGGCCGGTCTAATGGGCAATAAATTAGTAATGATGAAAGGTTTGAAAGTTTGGCGAATAAACACCAAATACAACATCCTTTACCTCATGGGTCCAGCTGTGCCTGGACCTAATCATGGTTACATGCGTATACAAGATTCAACGTTGTACGAACGTAAACAAAAGATAACGAACGAGAATCATCCGCCATTTCCTACCTACTTTCCCGAAAATGGAAAAGTTTTGGAAGAAGAATTATTCGCCGATGATATCTACCGGTTTGATCAGCCAACACTAACATTAGATGATGTACAAATAGCTCCATTAACAAGTCGTCGAACAGCAGCGAAGACCGCTCAAAAGAAAAAATGAGTTTTGTTTGATTTTATTTGTACAGAAAAGGAACGTTAGAATGTTGAATCACATAGAATCAGTTATTTTCTTTCATTCTACTGTTTGTTTTTTTGTTACTTTTCAGATCGAACAGATTCCTCTATCAACTTTCGTTCGATAAAAATCTTCCTCAATGGCTAAACGAACCAAAAAAGTCGGTATTGTCGGAAAATACGGTACACGGTAAATGAGAATAATCTTGTCCAACAACAACAACAACAACTCGTCGTGTCTTTTTTTTCGAATAGTTATGGTGCCTCCTTACGTAAGATGGTGAAAAAAATGGAAATTACTCAACACTCGAAATACACATGTTCATTCTGTGGTAAAGACAACATGAAACGAACATGTGTTGGTATTTGGAAATGTCGTTCATGCCAAAAGTCAGTCGCCGGTGGTGCCTATGTCTACTCAACATCAACAGCAGCTGCCGTTCGTTCGGCTGTACGTCGTTTACGTGATATGCGTGAACAATAAAGAAAATCTTCTATGAAAATTTTGTTCGTTTTGATCACAATGAACAGCGTGAACAGGAAAAAAGAAGAAAATAAATAAATCATTGAAACATCCATCAAAAACATCTTTTTATCGGAAAGAGCAGATTACACCTAGCTTGAAATACTGTACATTGTTTCGATTGAATGTGCCAAGTCTAATCGATTCAGTTTAGTCGAAGAGACGATTAAATAGAGTTCGGCAACTGTTGGCGGAGGTGATGTGCAATTACACCAAGTGGAAATGACTCGACCAGCAGGATATTGAAGACTTTGCGATGCCCAATGTTCGATTTCGGATTCTCGGATGCCAATTAATTGAGCGAATTCAATCCATTTGGGAGATTGACTTTGTTGCTGATAAGGTTCACCTTTCGTGCGATAGATTGAGCCTAAACATGCACCTAGTAACGAGATTCATCCGAAGGATTTGATACTTTACTCATTTTCGAGAGTGGTTTGGATATTTGACTATCTTTACTAAGTTCTTTGATGATCAACATGCGTAAATTCGAATCCATTTTTTCGATTAATGTTTCACTAGCTAGCGGAAGACGCGTTAGGTCATTCAACTGATCTTCATTGTTAATATTCGGTTCATCGATGATGATATCAACTTTATCTGCAAACGAAACACGGCGTCTAACTTTGCCTGATGGACTACTGGTCTGCCCGTTATTTTCAGTGGAATTTATTGGAGCGACAGTTTCAGTTGTATCGACAACAATCGGTGGAGGTTCTGGTTCATGAGTGATTCGCTTTATTCGTCGTTCGTTCACTAAACAAATTCGATGCTGTACAGAAATATGTAGAAACTGTAAGCCTACGTGGTCGAGCACTTGGAGAGAGGAAGATTCGACAAGCATCTTCAAGAGTTAGACGATGAGCTCGAAGAATTTTCGTTGCGTTTGGGTTTATTTTCTGAAAGATTCCCATTTCTAGTTGATCGACTAAATAAAAAATAGAATAATTCATGAAATATAAATGAGTTCGCTTCATTCTACCTATGGTAGCATACATCATTTGCAAGAATTGAGCATTTTCTTTCCAAAGATCGCGTTCTCGAGTAACAAATGTCAAACGTTGATCTGCCGTAAGATAATTTCGAACTAACTTCGGTTCTTCGACTGATAATTGTGTTACTCTGTCGTAAATCGAATGGCTTTGCTCATTTTCTGTCTCTTGAACCAGATTAAGAAATGCACCACGGAAATAACAGATTTCATCGATCATGGATAGTAAATTCTCCACGGGAATGTCACACGGTTCTTGTTTGGACAGATCGACATCGTTCGAGTAATCTTCGATATTGATGTTTTCAATAATGCGCGAACAGATTGTGTTCAATTTCGAATGCAACTGTTCTTGTTCTCGAATTAGTCGATCGATTTGTTCCTGTTGTGGATCGATGATTTGTTCTTCTGCGCTGAGCTTTTTGCTTTTTTTCTTTGATATAGCGGAATCCTTTCGTCTACCCAAAGCTTTCTTACCAGCTGATAAAGTTCGTACAGGCATATTTGATGATTGTCAGTTACACGACCAAAATACCACTCGGCACTTATTCTAATCAACGGTCGACTGAAAAACAACTCAAATTCATCTAAAACTTTTTAATTTTTCAACGAACGAGACGAGCGAGTGGGAAGAAGAGAGAAACACGGTAATAAGAATTTGATTCTACAAATTTACATACCGAGATGTTTGTGTGTATATTTGAACAATGTAAATCTGTAATTTTAATGAGAAAAAAATGTCGAAGTAGAAGAATGAGACATTGTTGACAGATCGTCATGTATGCTTCTTTTTGGTAAACAGAGTATACGGATTCCGCAATCGAACATTCAAATGAAAAAAAAAACTTCTGTCAATAGTTTATACGTGCGAGACGATTTCAAAAATTGATCTCGATGACAAAGAAACAAATGTTGTAATGCTATACGTACGACTGTCACTTCAGTCATAAATGATTGTAAAAAAAAGCGAGATAAACGTACATTTCTACTCAGTATACGTGTACGTAGACGTAGCTAACTGTAAGTTGCGGATTCTTATTTGAAATTACCACCACCACCACCACCTGTTCTGTATTTAATCAAGTCAAAAAAGAATGATAAGAACTGAAGACCATTCGGTGACTGAGAGAAGACCTTGTTCACTCTAACGTTTGCAATCTGTTCTTTTTAATCCATACATCAGTTTACGCCATCTATGATTTGAAAAAATTATTCTTTTAATGTTTCTTTTGTTGTTTACTTAATCCATCCATCATAGCTGCGGTTGCGTGCGTGTATCCTATAATTCTCTCGGTTTTTTTCTTTTCTTAATCGAGGTATATCTGACGATGACTTCATTATTGATCGGTGAACAAGAAGAAAGTTTATTTCTTCTTCATGAACAACCGCCCACGATTCTCCAGCAAGCAGAAAGTCTAGATGGAATCAAATCAATTCAACATCTTCTCTCAGCATCGTCATCATTAGCATCAACCACGTTACCCAATCGAACTCAGCAATCTTTTCGTCCCTCGACTGCTTCTCATGAAGTCATCCCACCGCCCCTACGATTCTCGACAAATCAATCACGCTATTCGAATTCGAGTGATGTCGATTCATTCGTTCGACAATTTGAACAACGTTTAGATGAACATCGACATCAATTGCAGAAGGAATACGATCGAAAGATACAACAAATGATCGAAAGTAAAAACCATGAAGTGGATGCGTTAAGGAATCGCTATGAAAATAAACTACATGAACTCGAAGAAACCAATCGACAATTGGAGATTCAATCAGGTCAAACTAACGAAGAGAATAAACGCTTGAAAATCGAACTCGAACACCAAAAACAACAGTATCGAATAGAATTGGTAAGCACTTCTCCTGGGAAATACTCTCTATTACTTTTCCTTTTTTTTTCAGACAAGTTTGCAACAGCATTCCAAAGGATCAGAAAGCGATGCCGAAAGAAAACTTCATGAATTGAAAGTTTTGCACGAGAATGAAAAACAAGAGATGAAAAGATCACATTCAAGGACCTATCAAGACTTGCTAGATGAGACCAATCAAGTAAGATTTCTTCCCGCGATTCGAAAAATGATCCATTCGTCGTTTTTCTATCAGCGTTTGAAGAAAATGGAAAGCGAACACAAATATCAGCAGACAAGTCATGAATCGAGTATCGAGGAAATGGAAAAACGTATGGTTGATTTACGATCCAACATTGAACATTTGCAACAGGTGAAGCAAAAACTCGACGACGACAAGATTCATTTGATAAAAACTAACGAAAAACTACAATTACAAGTAAGTTGAAGATTTCATATCTTGTGCTTTCAAAGAATAACATGCAGATGAAATTATCGTTACGTTCTATTTGAACAGAAACCTTACAGTGACTATTTGTAGACAAAGATTGACTCGAGTTAAATAAAAAGACATTCACACGTGCTCACAGGTACAAAAAATATCCCCGATCGCTAGTTAATCTCCTTCTCAGAGGTCACCGTTCTGTTCGATTAATTAAGTGGAAAGCTGAGTTCGCTACACTCCAGATTTTCTTGCCGACGGGCTCTCACGTAAGAAAAGAATTAACTGTCAACTTAAATCGAATCTTTCTCTTCAAGGTTTCTTTGATGATTACATAAACATTTGCATACCTTTTACCCTCTAGATTCAAGATTTAACGAACAAGCAGCGTTATCTTGATCGTGAGCACGCAGACAAAAGCCAACGTTACGAAAATGAACTGAAATCAGTTCGTGTTCGTTGCCAATCAAGTGTCGATTTATTAGAAAAAGAGAATGAACTGATAAAGAGTAGATCAGCGAAAACAATTGACGAACTAGAGAAAAAATTGACCACAATAACGGAGAAATTCCACGAATTGGAGCGATTTTTCGAGAGGAAAACACGCGAACAGGAAGAAAATTATCATAAAAATTTCAAACAATGCGAACTGGATCATGAGAAACAAATTCAAAGGCTAAATGACGAACATCGAGAACAGTTGAATAATGAATTACAACGGCAGAAGGCTCAAATGCAGCTTAGCTTAGAAAATCAGGTTCATTTCAGATGAATAACTTATCATCTTCCAATGCGAAGTATTTAGATGCAAGAAATGAATGATCAAACACGAGAAAATGAACGGCAATTGATCGAAAAAGTGAAAATGGAATATGAACAGTTGCTACAACAGTTCGTCGTCTATATTTCAGTGAAAAAGAATTTGTATATTCGAATTTTAGGAATGAACAACTGTTGCGAGACAATTTCAACAAAGAGCTTGAAGAAAGCAAACGTCGATACGAACAGACGATTAGTAAAAAAGACGAAAAAACCAAGAATGACTTGGAACGCATCAATAAATTATCAATGGAACTGAAAGTTAAACATGAAAATGAAAAACAAGAGGTCTGTACGAACAGAAACAAGCAAACTTCACGTAGAGTGCGGAGACATCAATAAATAGAAAGATAATTACTTTAACTAAGGCAGGACACGTTATTCTATGACAAGATTCACTCTCTAGATAGAGAGGAAAAGTTTTTCTCCATTATTTTTTCTAAATTTCTGTTTGAAATAGATCATTAATGAATACGACGAATACATTCGCAAGTTGGAAAAACAATCTGCACAGAAAGCTGACGAATACGAACAACGCATCGAATCAGTGATATCCAAGACAAATGAACAATTGAAATCTATTGAAGGTGAGTTGGCTAGTGACGGTAGCGAGGATGACTCATCTCATTCTTTGATCCTCTTCCGTATCAGCCGATTCCTAGCGCCGTATTTACTCATCACGTCTGTGTTTGTTTCTTTCAGATGAATATCAAATTCGACATGCAAAACAAGAGTCGATCATCAACGAACAAGAAAAACTTCTTGCCAAACTGGAAGACGAAAAACATCATACGAACCTTTTACATGATAAACAAACGAAAATCCTCAGCGAACAACACCTGCGAGAAAGAAATGATATGAAATCAGTACGTTTTTTGAATCATTTCGAGCAATGAGTAACTGAATGATAAGACTTTATCGATATCGAACGTCATAATAACCCGGTTTTTTGTTTCTTTTTCAGCAATCGGAGTTGTACATGAAGAAATTCGAGAAGAACTTCAATCTTCTCAAACTAAAACACGATCAACTAGAACGGAAAATTGCTCAGTTGACCGAACAACACAAACACGAATTACTCGAGTGTCGTTTATCTTACGACAACAAAATGAAAGATCTTCTCTCGAATGATGTTCGACTAGATTTAGAAAACACGATCTATTCATTAAAGCAGCAGGTCGTATTTTTGCAACAACGTATTTCGTTTCTCCAACAAGAACTTCAACAATACATTCAACAGTATGGCCATCGACCAGCAGCACGTTCATCGAAAAACGCCAATCCATGAGTTGCTTCGTTGAGATGTGCTCTCAGCTCAGGTTTCATTTTTCTGTTAGTGTTTCTATGTGTGCTTTCAAGGCAAAATACGCCGTTACGTTTTATATTAGTTTCTATGGTATTTCTCTCCACTTATTTTTTTGATGACGCATATATGGAATAGCATTTTTCTCTCTTCTTTCCTTTCTTTTCCTTTCTGCCATCATCATCATCATCCGGCCATATCGACAAATGTGCGTACGATAACACCTACATTTCTCTCTATTTATGATGTGTACGAGGATGACGGCATACTTTGTTGTCGCAAGAAAAAACAAAAAAACACTGAATGAATTCTTTCTATTTTAGATCGTTCATCAATGGAAGTTTTCGAAGCAATCTATCGAAATCCAATCGTACGAGAATATTTCAATCCGAAGCAATTCCAAGTGACACCATGGGTACGCGATCCAATCGGAATATCTCATCCATTTGTTTTTGATTTCGAAAAAAAATTCTTCGATAAAACCTACGCCCATCATATCTATGAATGGATGAACAAATGGTGGTGGTTAAGTATTGTCTACTCAGTAGTCTATGTCGGCTTGATCTACTATGGACGATCATTGATGGAGAAACGTGAACCGTATCAAATACGTGGCGCCTTAATTTTATGGAATTTATCATTGGCTATATTTAGTATTTTTGGAATGATACGTTGCGTACCGGAAATGCTCTATGGTTTGGAGAAGAAAGGTTTACAGTACACAATTTGTGACAATACCAATATTTATGGTGTAACTGGATTCTGGTAAATAAATCGATTGTTTTGAGAAGTAGTTTTTCTCATTTTCATATAGGATCACAATATTTTGTATTTCGAAAGTACCAGAACTGATCGATACATTGTTTATTGTGCTTCGAAAACAGAAATTAATCTTTCTCCATTGGTTTCATCATGCTACCGTATTGATCTATGCTTGGTACAGGTAAGGATTTTCATTGCATTTGCTTTTTATACCTACGAAGCATAAATTTCTTCTGTTAGTTATCACGACTGGACAGCAAGTGGACGCTGGTTTGTTTTTATGAATTATAGTGTTCACGGTAAGCCAAGTGTGATGAATTTTATTGCTTTTTTTTCATCGATCTTCTCGTTTAGCATTGATGTATACTTACTATGCATTTCGTGCAATGAGATTTCACATTCCAAAATGGATTTCTATAACAGTAACAATATTTCAATTATCTCAAATGGTTGTTGGTTGTTTCGTTAATTATAAAGCCTATGTTTACAAACAAAACGGTGCATCATGCACGGTCGCTTATTCGAATATATTCTGGTCTTTTGTGATGTATGCTGTTTACTTCCTTCTGTTTCTTCATTTCTTTTTTGTCGCGTATTTATGGAAAAAACCGGTTGCCAAATCAAGTGGCGAAGTCGAACGCAAAAAGAACAAATAGAATTTGCCATCATACAACATTTAGCTTAATTTCGTTTTTATGTCCGCATTGTTGTTGTTGTTGTTGTTGTACGTTGTCCAACAAATAAAAGCAAAAGAAAGATCAACTGGACTATCAGGAAGAACGAAAAACATTCGATTTTGATCCTCAAATGAAAATTAAGTACAAAATGAAACAGATATGTTGTTATCTATGACGTCGAAAGATAATTTTGTGAGATTATTTCGAAAGAAAAAAAGGTTTGGTCCCTATGAGGATCGAACTCATGACCTCCGCGTTATTAGCACGGCGCTCTAACCAGCTGAGCTAAGGGACCGACATCAATGAATCGCAAAATGGATAAATTATTGTTGATAATCTATTTTCTCTGACGATGGTTGATGGCATACTTTTCCTATCAAATACATCACGTATTACGTCGAAATGATATGAAAAAACGTGCCGCTATAGAAAAACTATGAGTCGACGTGTACGTTAATCTACGAGGTACTCTTTGTTGTTCCTGAAGATATCGATATTTATTCATAAACAATAATATAATACACATTGAATAAAAAAAAGGAGCGCGCCGAACTGTTGAATTTCAATGGACGGATAAGACATTGAAACAAGAAACCGGCAATGAATACAAGAAGAGAAGAAAAAGAACGGAATCCAATCAGAGTTACACCTGAGACAAAACACACAAACAAACAAAGAGACAGAGATCTACTGAGCTATCAAGAAGAAGCAATTCAATGAATAAGAATCTATCATAAGAGAAAAATATAGAATTGGTATATTCACACAAAAAAAAGATCCAGTTCGATTTGATGAGAAGTTAAAGAAAACAACATCAGCAATTATTTCTTTTTGTTTTGCGTGTGCGATTGTTGTTGTGTAGAGAATAGTCTCAATCCATTGCGGACGAATTTCTTTATTCCGCCGCTTTGCGATGGAGGCTGTTGAGGATGTTGTGGCCATGTTAATGTTTCCTCCTCGTTTTCTTCATGTTGTTCATTAATAACTGTTCGCGTAGTTGCATAGTACGTTGTTAACGAGTGATCGAGATTTCGAGCTTTGGAACGATTATGGCCTGGTAAAGAGTTGGTTTTCTGTTCAAATTGTCTTGCCAATGCTCGAACGTTGGTTTGTTGAGGTGGTGGTGGCTGCTGTTGTTGTTGTTGTTGATCTTCATTCTCACATAGAGTAATTGTATCTCCATCTTCGTCATCAACATCTTCGACTTCAGCTCGACGATGTTCTTCTTGCCGTTGAACGGCAGCCATGATATCATCTTCACTTCTGTAGAGCTTCATTTTCGAATTCTTATTTCCGTACGGAGATTTGTGCGTTCGAGTTAAAAGAACGGTGGGTGTAGAAGTATTGTGACTAGCTAAGGCCATGGTTGACGATGATTTCGAACGATGGTCATCATCAAACGAATGTTGACAATGTGGAGCTAACGGTGCTGTCTGCTTTGGTGTTGTTGGTGTCACATAGAGACATTCAATAGATTTTCTCAATGGTGTATGATGATTTTCCGATAGTTTTGATTTCGACAAAGATGATGAACCTGAATCGTAGACAATAGAACGAGGTAATTGACGTTGTGCGGATGACGATAGCGACGATGTTGATGAAGAAATTGAATACATTGATGATATTGTTGATGGCGATGAGCTCAATGAATTCAAACAATCTTGAGCCATTTGTGATAGAAGACGATCGAGTTCGAACACATGCATATCGATAGTGGTGTCAGGGCTAGAAAAAGAAGAAGAAGCATTTTGAAGAAGTTGAAATGAGAAGCAATCAACTTACACTCCTTGACTTCTCATAGCGAAGGTGATTTTTTCGAAAAGCTCTCGACGGATTTCTTTAATCATTGAATTACGACTTCGAACTAGTTCATTTTGGATTTGCTTTCTTACTGATACATCCAGATTGTCCATGTAATGAGCTATTCCCACTTAAAATAGAAAAAAAACCCCGAGATCAAATCAATTGTTTTCATATCAAAGTTGCTCTTCAATTAGCTGATGCAACATGCAGAAAATATGTACCTCGATGATGCACATCAAAAATCATTCGGCATGTCAGTCGTAACAGAGCGAGTATTTCACTTGTAAATAACTCTAGAATGGATGCAGCAAAAACATACATGCAATATGAATCAAGCAATGGAACAAAAACAAAACACTTGTATCTCATGCAACAAACTTTTTTGTGTCGTGCGTTTTGTCAAATGAAATAGCATAGAGCAACGAAATGCATAGCATGAACATGCAGATTGAGCTGCGTTTTGACATCTCTACCTCTCTCTTACTTGAACAATCGCTGAGTTCTTTTTCAGTATCGGATTGTTACCTCGTAGTTTCTCAACCGTAGCCATGTAATCTGATCTAATATCGTTGAATGAAAGATCCGTCTGAAATGGAAAGAAGTCGTTGTTCGGACGTTCAGAGAGGATTCAATCAGGTCATACTTGAACGTATTCGGGTACGGATATTACTCGCGTGGTTAGACGTTCTTGAGTAGAGAGGCGTTCCTGGTGAAGTTCGCGCTTGATTTCATCCATAGCTTTTGTATGCTGTTTAATCATATCGGCAATTTTCTTTTGGAGGGAAGAAATCGTTTCTTGATATTCATTCTCTTGTTTCGCGTGTAGTGCACGTTCTTGAGCCAATCTATTTGAAGAAGAAAATAACGATCTCCAATTCGAAATCAAATCTTTCAACTTACGTCTCGTTCGATTGTTCTAATAGTTTGACCAAATGATCAAGACGATTCTGCAGATTTTCTTGTCGATTCTTATGATCTTGTTCGACGGTGTATTTCTCTTTTGTTTTGGTTATATCATCCAAATGCGTTTTCTTCAGTTGTTCATTTATTTGTTCAACATCTTGCAATTGTTGTTTCAATTGTTCGCAGCGTGTTTGTAAACGCGTTTGCTCGTGTTGAAATTCATTAATAACGTTATTGTATCCATCATCTAAATCTTTCTTCATGATTTGCATTTGTTTCTGATGAGAATCGATGAGTTTCGCTTGGTTTTGATTCAACTCGATATTCTCTCGATACAAACGATCGATTTCCGTTCGATACATTTTCTTTACTTCTTCGATATCTTGAGCCGAAGTATTCGCTTGCATGACCGGCGTGACCATCGTATGCTTTTCGAGTTCATTCGTTAACTGCTGCTGCAACTGATTCAATTCTTGTTGATGTTGCTTCTGATCACGTTCGTAACGACGACTGTACTCCTGTTCGAGACTAGCTTTGATTTTCTCGATTTCCTGTTTCAAATGACTATCCGCCAAATTGAGAGCACGATTCGCTTCTTGCAAACGTTGTTCGAACTGATTCTTTTCGGTTTGAATGGAAAGTAACTTTTCGCGACATTCGACTTCTTTGTCCTGCAAAATCGTAGAATGTCGTGAAGAACGTATACTACAGCCGAAACATTGAACTCACTTTCAGATCTTTGATCCGTGCTTGATTCAACTCTAAAATCTGCTGTTCATACTGTTCCATTTGTTTCTTCAGGTCGTTTGATATCGTATCATTATTTGCAAGGCGCTCTTTGTACCTTTGAAGGGCCTGTTCCGTCTCGTCAAAACGTATTTTCAACTGATTGAGTTCATTCTCTTTGCTATTTAACATTTCTTTCGTCAATCGTAGATCCATCTTGTTCGTATCGCGTTGTTGCGTGATTTTCTGTAGATTCGTTTCGAGTTTCAATCGATATTCTTCGTATTGACTAACGGCATTTTCATAATTTCGTATACGAGTTTGTAAATCATCGAGATTCTGCTTTTGATCTGCTTGTTGCGATTCACGAAGTTCGTTTGTTAGTTTTCTTTCCATTTTGTCATAACTTTCTTTCAATTGAAGTTTTTCTTGATCGAGCTGTTCGATGGTTTGTAGGAGATTCTGATTTTCATCTTCGAGTCCTTTACAATTGTTGAGCAACTCTTTCTGTTTCGAATGTAAATCCGAATAATCATGTTTGAGTTGTTCGAATTCTTTCTCCACATAACATAATCGGCTCTTTGCATCGTCTAAAGGCAGAAAAGAGAAATGCTGGTTCGATTTCCACATTCATTTTACATACCATTCGCTCGCAATCGGTCAAGCTCGATATTTAGTTCATTAAGCGTTTTCTCGTGATTGATTTTCATCCGTTCGATTTCTTTCGCTTGTTGTTCTAAATCTTGATCATATTTAACTTTCAATGCCTGTTGATCGTGGGTTTTAACTTGTGTTATTTTGTCGCTATAATCTCGTTCGAACGTTCGACGCAAATCTTCTAATTTAAGTTTAATTTCATATTCATATTTCGCACGGAGATTATCCTCGATCGAGTTCTTCTCCTGACAAACATCTAAGCGAGACAATGAGTGAATAATCGACTTCGATAGCAAAGCTTTTCACTTACCGATATAGAGCTGCTTAGTCTTGTCCAGATCGACAATATCTTCGCGTAATTGTTCGATAATGGTTTGCATTTCTTGCTTTTCGTATTCATATTTCTCTTGTAGATTTGCATATTCTTTGTTTAATTTTTCAATTTCTTTTCTGAAACTATGAATTTGTTCCATATGCACAGTGCTGGAGACGACCACTTCCTCCGAACTTGAACTGCTTTGACGTTGCAATTCCTGTATTTGTCGCTGTAAATCTTCATTGATTTCAATCAAATGCTTCTCATTCGAGGCGAATTCATCGATACGTTCTTTCAAATGCTGGTTTTCATTAGTTAACGAGTCATTAGGATTCTCAACACTAGTTGAATTGTGCGGAACAACTTGTCGATTGATACTAAACAAGCGAATGAGTACAGAAATGGTTTCTTCAACTTTCATTTCAAACCTCGATAATTCATTCACACTGATGTTTGATATACCAAATAGATCATTGTTTACTTCATGCTCTGTTACACCAAGCCGTTCACGTAATGTTCGAATTTCGGACTACAAATAAATTTGAATTACAAAGTGAAATCATAACGATTGCATATCGCCTACCCATGTGGTTAACATAATATCAGACTAATGTAACTTTAGTTTTTTTTCTCTTTCTCTTCTTTCTAGCTTGTCAACTCAAATACAAGACTAGTTCTCGATTTTTTAGATCAATAGAGTAAACACGAAAAAAAAAACCGATAACTTTTCGTTATAAAATTTCACGGTAAATCAGCGTTTTTAAGATATGAAACATATACTAACACACGATTTCTAATGACTACCGTTGAGTGTTATCTTATCTAAGATTGTAGTATCTTTGAAATATGTTGGGTTTTACTCGTCTGTAAGAAACATGGCTTCTGTTCGAAGTTGACTCAGTTCAGCGTCGAAATTATCGACTCATTATTCAATTTAGATAAGTATTTTCGAACACGCAAGATTCGCTGCATGCTGTGAAACGAAATGTTTCTTCTACTGATCACTTTTATCGGTGCATACCTGAAATTCTTGACATGTGAGCTCGAGTTTGTCTTTTTCTTCCGTCAGACGAGTTAATTGTCGTTTATTTTCAGTTTGATTAAACGTCTCCATTGATTTGCTGGTCAATAATTCCGTGTATTGCCGTTGACACTCATGTAATTGCTGGTTCAAATGACTAATCGATTCCATACGTTCGAAAATAGCCTGAACGGAAGAACAAGATTCATTCAGAGCCTTAGAATTGCTCTTCGTACCTTTTCGTTGTTTTTACATGCCGTTTCTAATTGAGCACGGAGTTCATCGACTTCCATCGTCTAGAAATACGTCAAATTTCGTGTGTATGACCTAAGAATTATTCTATTCGAACCTTCTCTTGTAGATTCATTTGTGTGATTTGTAGTTTTTCATTGAGATTCAACATTTCTTGCTCATGCTTTTCACGTGTACTAGCCAGAAGAAGTTCACAATCTTGTTGTGTGCGCGCGATAGAATCGAATCTCTGTAGTTCATTCACTTTGCGGTGAAGAGAATCAATCAATGATTCTGCATCATCCAATTTTTGTTCCAACTAAAACAACGCATCGTAAAATAAAAGAAACGTAGTTGTTCGAAATCTTACTTGTGTTTTAGTTCCTTCTAGTTGCTGAATGCGCAATTCTGCATCTTTAATCGTCCGTTGTAATTGATTATTTGTTTCGATCAACTCTTCACATTGTCTGGTTATCGATTGATAACGTTGCTCGTAATCGTATTTACTCCCTATGAAAAAAAAAACGCCACGTCGAAGAAAGTCTACAATGCAATTCGGTTCGATTCGCTCACGGTCGCTCAATTCAATCTTGTGTTTGAGAGCGCGTAGTTCACTGTTGTATTTTTGATGATATTGAGCGCTACAATTTTNTTTTTTTCGAATAGTTATGGTGCCTCCTTACGTAAAATGGTGAAAAAAATGGAAATTACTCAACACTCGAAATACACATGTTCATTCTGTGGTAAAGACAACATGAAACGAACATGTGTTGGTATTTGGAAATGTCGTTCATGCCAAAAGTCAGTCGCCGGTGGTGCCTATGTCTACTCAACATCAACAGCAGCTGCCGTCCGTTCGGCTGTACGTCGTTTACGTGATATGCGTGAACAATAAAGAAAATCTTCTATGAAAATTTTGTTCGTTTTCATCACAATGAACAGCGTGGACAGAAAAAAAGAAGAAAATAAATAAATCATTGAAACATCCATCAAAAACATCTTTTTATCGGAAAGAGCGGACTACACTTAGCTTGAAATACTGTACATAGTTTCGATTGAGTGTGCCAAATCTAATCGATTCAGTTTAGTCGAAGAGACGATTAAATACAGTTCGGCAACTGTTGGCGGAGGTGATGTGCAATTGCACCAAGTGGAAATAACTCGACCAGCAGGATATTGAAGATTTTGCGATGCCCAATGTTCGATTTCGGATTCTCGGATGCCAATTAATTGAGCGAATTCAATCCATTTGGGAGATTGACTTTGTTGTTGATAAGATTCTCCTTTCGTGCGATAGATTGAGCCTAAACATTCATCTAGTAACGAGAATCATCAGAAGGATTTGATACTTTACTCATTTTCGAGAGTGGTTTGGATATTTGACTATCTTTACTAAGTTCTTTAATGATCAACATACGTAAATTCGAATCCATTTTTTCGATTAATGTTTCACTAGCTAGCGGAAGACGCGTTTGGTCATTCAACTGATCTTCATGGTTAATATTCGATTCATCGATGATGATATCAACTTTATCTGCAAACGAAACACGACGTCTAACTTTGCCCGATGGACTACCAGTTTGTCCAACATTTTCATTGGAATTTACTGGAACAACAAGTTCAGTTGCATCGACAACAATCGATGGTGGTTCTGGTTCATGAGTTATTCGCTTTATTCGTCGTTCGTTGACTAAACAAATTCGATATTATACAGAAATATGTAGAAATTGTAAGCCTACGTGGTCGAGCACTTGGCGAGAGGAAGATTCGACAAGCATCTTCGAGAGTTAGACGATGTGCTCGAAGAATTTCCGTTACGTTTGGGTTTAATTTTTGAAAGATTCCCATTTCTAGTTGATCGACTAGATAAAAAATAGAATAACTCATGAAATATAAATGAGTGTTTGCTTCGTTCTACCTATGGTAGCATACATCATTTGCAGGAATTGAGCATTTTCTTTCCACAGATCGCGTTCTCGAGTAACAAATGTCAAACGTTGATCTACCGTAAGATAATTTCGAACTAATTTCGGCTCTTCGACTGATAACTGTGTTACTCTGTCATAAATCGAACGGCTTTGCTCGTCCTCCGTCTCTTGAACAAGATTAAGAAATGCACCACGGAAATAACAGATTTCATCGATCATCGACAGTAAATTCTCCACGGAAATGTCACACGGTTGTTGTTTGGATAGATCGATATCATTCGAGTAATCTTCGATATTGATGTTTTCAACAATGCGCGAACAGATTGTGTTTAATTTCGAATGCAATTGCTCTTGTTCTCGAAGTAATCGATCGATTTGTTCCTGTTGTGGATCGATGATTTGTTCTTCTGCACTGAGCTTTTTGCTTTTTTTCTTTGATATAGCCGAATCTTTTCGTCTACTCAAAGCTTTCTTACCAGCTGATGAAGTTCGTACAGGCATATTTGATGATTGCCAGTTACAAGACCAAAATGCCGCTCGACTCTTATTCTAATCAACAGTCGAATGAAAAACAACTCAAATTCATCTAAAACTTTTTAATTTTACAACGAACGAGACGAGCGAGTGGGAAGGAGAGAGAAACACGGTAATAAAAATTTGATTCTACAAATTTACATGTCGAGATGTTTGTGTGTATATTTGAACAATGTAAATCTGTGATTTTAATGAGAAAAAAAAATGTCGAAAGAGAAGAATAAGACATTGCTGATAGATCGTCATGTATGTTTCTTTTTGGTAAACAGAGTATACGGATTCCGCAATCGAACATTCATATGAAAAAAAAAGAAAGACTTCTGTCAATAGTTTAGACGTGCGAGACGATTTCAGAAATTGATCTCGATGACAAAGAAACAAATGTTGTAATGCTATACGTACGACTGTCACTTCAGTCATAAATGATTGTAAAAAGAGCGAGATAAACGTACATTTCTACTGAGTATACGTGTACGTAGACGTAGCTAACTGTAAGTTGCGGATTCTTATTTGAAATTACCACCACCATCACCATCTGTTCTGTATTTAATCAAGGCAAAAAAGAATGATAAGAACTGGAGACCATCCGGTGGTTAAGAGAAGGCCTTCTTCACTCTAACGTTTGCAATCTGTTCTTTGTAATCCATACATCAGTTTACGCCATCTATGATTTGAAAAAAATTATTCTTTTAATGTTTCTTTTGTTGTTTACTTAATCCATCCATCATAGCTGCGGTTGCGTGCGTGTATCCTATAATTCTCTCGGTTTTTTTTTCTTTTCTTAATCGAGGTACATCTGACGATGACTTCATTATTGATCGGTGAACAAGAAGAAAGTTTATTTCTTCTCCATGAACAACCGCCTGCTATTCTCCAGCAAGCAGAAAGTCTAGATGGAATCAAATCAATTCAACACCTTCTCTCGGCATCGTCATCATTAGCATCAACCACGTTACCCAATCGAACTCAGCAATCTTTTCGTCCCTCGACTGCTTCTCATGAAGTCATCCCGCCGCCCCTACGATTCTCGACGAATCCATCACGCTATCCGAATTCGAGTGATGTCGATTCATTTGTTCGACAATTTGAACAACGTTTGGATGAACATCGACATCAGTCGCAGAAGGAATACGATCGAAAGATACAACAAATGATCGAAAGTAAAAATCACGAGCTCGATGCGTTAAGGAATCGCTATGAAAGTAAACTACATGAACTCGAAGAAACGAATCGACAATTGGAGATTCAATCAGGCCAAATTAACGAAGAGAATAAACGCTTGAAAATCGAACTCGAACACCAAAAACAACAACATCGAATAGAATTAGTAAGAACAACGTCTCTTGGGAAATACTCTCTATTACTTTTCTCTTTTCAGACAAGTTTGCAACAGCATTCCAAAGGATCAGAAAGCGATGCCGAAAGAAAACTTCATGAGTTAAAAGTTTTGCATGAGAATGAAAAACAAGAGATGAAAAGATCACATTCAAGGACCTATCAAGACCTGCTAGATGAGACCAATCAAGTAAGATTTCTTCTTGCCATTCGGAAAATGATCCGTCGCTCGTTTTTCTATCAGCGTTTGAAGAAAATGGAAAGCGAACATAAATATCAGCAGACAAGTCATGAATCGAGTATCGAGGAAATGGAGAAACGTATGGTTGATTTACGAACCAACATTGAACATTTACAACAGATGAAGCAAAACCTCGACGACGACAAGATTCATTTGATAAAAACTAACGAAAAACTACAATTACAAGTAAGTCGAAGATTTCATATCTTGTGCTTTCAAAGAATAACATGCAGACGAAATTATCGTTACGTTCTATTTGAACAGAAACCATACAGTGACTGTTTGTAGGCAAAGATTGACTCGAGTTAAATAAAAAAAAAGACATTCACACGTGCTCACAGGTACAAAATATCCCCGATCGGTAGTTAATCTCCTTCTCAGAGGTCACCGCTCTGTTCGATTAATTAAATGCAAAGCCAAGTTCGCTACACTCCAGATTTTCTTGCCGACGGGCTCTCACGTAAGAAAAGAATTAACTGTCAACTTAAATCGAATCTTTCTCTTCAAGGTTTCTTTGATGATTACATAAACATTTGCATACCTTTTACTCTCTAGATTCAAGATTTAACGAACAAGCAGCGTTATCTTGATCGTGAGCATGCAGACAAAAGCCAACGTTATGAAAATGAACTGAAATCAGTTCGTGTTCGTTGTCAATCAAGTGTCGATTTGTTAGAAAAAGAGAATGAGCTGATAAAGAGTAGATCAGCGAAGACAATTGACGAACTAGAGAAAAAATTGACCACAATAACGGAGAAATTCCATGAGTTGGAACGATTTTTCGAGAGAAAAACACGCGAACAGGAAGAAAATTATCATAAAAATGTCAAACAATGCGAACTGGAACATGAAAAACAAATTCAAAGGTTAAATGACGAACACCGAGTACAGTTGAATAACGAATTACAACGGCAGAAGGCTCAAATGCAACTTAGCCTAGAAAATCAGGTTCATTTCAGATGAATAACTTCTCTTCTTCCAATGCGAAGTATTTAGATGCAAGAAATGAATGATCAAACACGAGAAAATGAACAGCAATTGATCGAAAAAGTCAAAATGGAATATGAACAGCTGCTACAACAGTTCGTCGTCTCTATTTCAGTGAAAAAGAATTTATATATTCGAATTTTAGAAATGAACAACTGTTGCGAGAAAATTTCAACAAAGAGCTTGAAGAAAGTAAACGTCGATACGAACAAACAATTAGTAAAAAAGACGAAAAAAACATGAATGACTTGGAACGCATCAATAAATTATCAATGGAAGTGAAAGTTAAACATGAAAATGAAAAGCAAGAGGTTTGTACGAACAGAAACAAGCATACTTCACGTAGAATGCGGAGACATCAATAAGTCGAATGATAATTATTTTAACTAAAACAGAATACGTTATTCTATGACGAGATTCACTCTCTAGATAAAGAGAAAAGGTTTTTCTCCATTATTTTTCTATTCTTCTGTTTGAAATAGATCATTCATGAATACGATGAATATATTCGCAAGCTGGAAAAACAATCTGCACAAAAAGCTGATGAATACGAACAACGCATCGAATCTGTGATATCCAAGACAAATGAACAATTGAAATCTATTGAAGGTGAGTTGGATTAATGGCGGCGATGAGGATGACTCTTCTCAGTCTTTGATCCTTTTCCGTATCGGCCAAATCCTGGCACTGTATTTATCGTAAATCAAAATTTACTCCATCATTTCTGTGTTTGTTTCTTTCAGATGAATATCAAATTCGACATGCAAAACAAGAGTCGATCATCAACGAACAAGAAAAGCTTCTTGCCAAATTGGAAGACGAAAAACATCATACGAACCTTTTACATGATAAACAAACGAAAATTCTCAGCGAACAGCACCTGCGCGAAAGAAATGATATGAAATCAGTACGTTTTTTGAATTATTCCTAGCAATGAGTAACCGAATGATAAGACTTTATGGACATCGAACGTCATAATAACCCGGTTTTTTCTTTCTTTTGCAGCAATCGGAGTTGTACATGAAGAAATTTGAGAAGAACTTCAATCTTCTCAAACTAAAACATGATCAACTAGAACGGAAAATTGCTCAGTTGACTGAACAGCACAAACACGAATTACTCGAGTGTCGTTTATCTTACGACAACAAAATGAAAGATCTTCTCTCGAATGATGTTCGACTAGATTTAGAAAACACGATCTATTCATTAAAACAACAGGTCGTATTTTTGCAACAACGCATTTCTTTTCTTCAACAAGAACTTCAACAATACATTCAACAGTATGGCCATCGACCAGCAGCACGTTCATCGAAAAACACCAATCCATGAGTTTCTTCGTTGAGATGTGCTCTGAGCTCAGGTTTCATTTTTCTGTTAGTGTTTCTATGTGTGCTTTCAAGGCAAAATAAGCCGTTACGTTTTATATTAGTTTCTATGGTATTTCTCTCCACTTATTTTTTTGATGACGCATATATGGAATAGCATTTTTTCTCTCTTCTTTTCTTTCTTTTCCTTTCTGCCATCATCATCCTGCCATATCGACAAATGTGCGTACGATAACACCTACATTTCTCTTTATTTATGATGCGTACGAGGATGACGGCATACTTTGTTGTCACAAAAAAAAAGCAAAAAACACTGATGTTATATGAGAAATAAGCACTGAATGAATTCATTCTATTTTAGATCGTTCATCAATGGAAGTTTTCGAAGCAATCTATCGAAATCCAATCGTACGAGAGTATTTCAATCCGAAACAATTCCAAGTGACACCATGGGTACGCGATCCAATCGGCATATCTCATCCACTCGTTTTTGATTTCGAAAAAAAATTTTTCGATAAAACCTACGCCCATCATATCTATGAATGGATGAACAAATGGTGGTGGTTAAGTATTGTCTACTCAATAGTCTATGTCGGCTTGATCTACTATGGACGATCATTGATGGAGAAACGTGAACCGTATCAAATACGTGGTGCCTTAATTTTATGGAATTTATCATTGGCTATATTTAGTATTTTTGGAATGATACGTTGCGTACCGGAAATGCTCTATGGTTTGGAGAGAAAAGGTTTACAGTACACGATTTGTGACAATACTAACATTTACGGCGTAACTGGATTCTGGTAAATAAATCGATTGTTCTGAGAAGCAGGTTTTTTTTCTAATTTTCATATAGGATCACAATATTTTGTATTTCAAAAGTACCAGAACTGATTGATACATTGTTTATTGTGCTTCGAAAACAGAAATTAATCTTTCTCCATTGGTTTCATCATGCTACCGTATTGATTTATGCTTGGTACAGGTGAGGATTTTCGTTGCACTTACTTTTGATGTTTACGAAACATATATTCTTTCTGTTAGTTATCACGACTGGACAGCAAGTGGACGCTGGTTTGTTTTTATGAATTATAGTGTTCACGGTAAGGCAAACATGATGAATTTGTTTGCTGTTTTTCATTGATCTTCTCGTTTAGCATTGATGTATACTTATTATGCATTTCGGGCAATGAGATTTCACATTCCGAAATGGATTTCTATAACAGTAACAATATTTCAATTATCTCAAATGGTTGTTGGTTGTTTTGTTAATTACAAAGCCTACGTTTACAAACAAAACGGTGCATCATGCACGGTCGCTTATTCGAATATATTCTGGTCATTTGTGATGTATGCTGTTTACTTCCTTCTGTTTCTTCATTTCTTTTTCGTCGCGTATTTATGGAAAAAACCGGTTGTCAAATCAAGTGGCGAAGTCGAACGTAAAAAGAACAAATAAAATTGGCCATCCTACAACATTTAGCTTAATTTCGTTTTTATGTCTGCATTGTTGTTGTTGTTGTATGTTGTCCAACAAATAAAAGCAAAAGAAAGATCAAGTGGTTTATCAGGAAGAACAAAAAACTTTCGATTTTGATCCTAAAATGAAAATTAAGTACAAAATGAAACAGATATGTTGTTATCTATGACGTCGAAAGATAACTTTACGTGAGATTATTTCGAAAGAAAAAAAAAATCGAATTTGGTCCCTATGAGGATCGAACTCATGACCTCCGCGTTATTAGCACGGCGCTCTAACCAGCTGAGCTAAGGGACCGACATCAGTGAATCGCAAAATGGATAAATCGTTATTGATAATCCATTTTCTCTGATGATGATTGATGGCATGCTTATCATATCAAATATATCACGTATTACATTGAAATGATATGAAAAAACGTGTCGCCATAGAAAAACTATGAGTCGAAGTGTACGTTAATCTACGAAGTACTCTTTGTTGTTCCTGTAGATATTGATATTTATTCATAAACAATAATATGATACACATTGAATAAAAAAAAGGAGCGCGCCGAACTGTTGAATTTCAATGGACGGATAAGACATTGAAACAAGAAACCGGCAATGAATACAAGAAGAGAAAAAAAGAACGGAAACCAATCAGAGTTACACCTGAGACAAAACACACAAACAAACAAAAAGACAGAGATCTACTGAGCTATCAAGAAGAAGCAATTCAATGAATAAGAATCTATCATAAGAGAAAAATATAGAATTGGTATATTCACACAAAAAGATCCAGTTCGATTTGATGAGAAGTTAAAGAAAGCAACATCGGCGATTATTTCTTTTTGTTTTGCACGTGCGACTGTTGTTGCGTAGAGAATAGTCTCAATCCATTGCGAACAAATTTCTTTATTCCACCACTTTGTGATGGAGGCTGTTGAGGATGTTGTGGCCATGTTAATGCTTCCTCCTCGTTTTCTTCGTGTTGTTCATTAATAACTGTTCGTGTAGTTGCATAATATGTTGTTAACGAGTGATCGAGATTTCGAGTTTTGGAACGATTATGACCTGGTAACGAGTTAGTTTTCTGTTCAAATTGTCTTGCCAATGCTCGAACATTAGTTTGTTGAGGTGGTGGTGGTTGTTGTTGTTGTTGATCTTCATTCTCACATAGGGTAATTGTATCTCCATCTTCGTCATCAACATCTTCGACTTCAGTTCGACGATGTTCTTCTTGCCGTTGAACGGCAGCCATGATATCGTCTTCACTTCTGTAGAGCTTCATTTTCGAATTCTTATTTCCGTACGGAGATTTGTGCGTTCGAGTTAAAAGAACGGTGGGTGTAGAAGTATTGTGACTAGCTAAGGCCATCGTCGACGCTGATTTCGAACGATTGTCATCATCAAGCGGAAATTGACAATGCGGAGCTAATGGGGCTGTCTGCTTGGGTGTTGTTGGTGTCACATAGAGACATTCAATAGATTTTCTCAATGGCGTATGATGATTTTCCGATAGTTTCGATTTCGATAAGGATGATGAACCTGAATCGTAGACAATAGAACGAGGTAATTGACGTTGTGCGGATGACGATAGCGACGATGTTGATGAAGAAATTGAATACATTGATGATACTGTTGATGGCGATGAGCTCAATGAATTCAAACAATCTTGAGCCATTTGTGATAGAAGACGATCAAGTTCAAACACATGCACGTCGATAGTGGTGTCAGGGCTAGAAGAAGAAGAAGAAGCATTTTGAAGAAGTTGAAATGAGAAGCAATTAACTTACACTCCTTGACTTCTCATAGCGAAGGTCATTTTTTCGAAAAGTTCTCGACGGATTTCTTTAATCATTGAATTACGACTTCGAACTAGTTCATTTTGGATTTGCTTTCTTACTGATATATCCAGATTGTCCATGTAATGAGCTATTCCCACTTAAAATAGAAAAAAAACCCGAGATCAAATGAATTATTTTCATATCAAAGTTGCTTTTCAATCAGCTGATGCAACATGCAGAAAATATGTACCTCGATGATGCACATCAAAAATCATTCGGCATGTCAGTCGTAGCAGAGCGAGTATTTCACTTGTAAATAACTCTAGAATGGATGCAGCGAAAACATACATGCAATATTAATCAAGCAATAGAACAAAATAAAAACATTTGTATCTCATGCAACAAACTTTTTTGTGCCGTGCGTTTTGTCAAATGAAATAGCATAGAGCAACGAAATGCATAGCATGAACATGCAGATTGAGCTGCGTTTTGGCATCTCTACCTCTCTCTTACTTGAACAATCGCTGAATTCTTTTTCAGTATCGGATTGTTACCTCGTAGTTTCTCTACCGTAGCCAGGTAATCTGATTTGATATCATTGAACGAAAGATCCGTCTGAAATGGAAAGAAGTCGTTGTTTGAATGTTCAGAGACGATTCGATCAGGTCATACTTGAACATATTCGGGTACGGATATTACTCGTGTGGTTAGACGTTCTTGAGTAGAGAGACGTTCCTGATGAAGTTCGCGTTTGATTTCGTCCATTGCTTTCGTATGCTGTTTAATCATATCCGCAATTTTCTTTTGGAGGGAAGAAATTGTTTCTTGATATTCGTTCTCTTGTTTCGTGTGTAGTGCACGTTCTTGAGCCAACCTATTTTGAAGAGAAAATAATGATCTCAGATTCGAAATCAAATCTTTCAACTTACGTCTCGTTCGACTGTTCTAATAGTTTGACCAAATGATCAAGACGATTCTGCAGATTTTCTTGTCGATTCTTATGGTCCTGTTCGACGGTGTATTTCTCTTTCATTTTGGTCATATCATCCAAATGCGTTTTCTTCAGTTGTTCATTTATTTGTTCAGCATCATGCAATTGTTGTTTCAATTGCTCGCAGCGCGTTTGTAAACGCGTTTGCTCGTGTTGAAATTCGTTAATAACGTTATTGTATCCATCATCTAAATCTTTCTTCATGATTTGCATTTGTTTCTGATGTGAATCAATGAGTTTCGCTTGGTTTTGATTCAACTCGATATTCTCTCGATACAAACGATCGATTTCCGTTCGGTACATTTTCTTCACTTCTTCGATATCTTGAGCTGAATTGTTCGCTTGCATGACCGGCGTTATCGTCTTATGTTTTTCGAGTTCATTCGTTAACTGTTGCTGCAACTGATTCAATTCTTGCTGATGCTGTTTCTGGTCACGTTCGTAACGACGACTGTACTCCTGTTCGAGACTAGTTTTGATCTTCTCGATCTCCTGTTTCAAATGGCTATCCGCCAAATTGAGAGCACGATTCGCTTCTTGCAAACGTTGTTCGAATTGATTCTTTTCGGTTTGAATGGAAAGTAACGTTTCGCGACATTCTGCTTCTTTGTCCTGCAAAATCGTAGAATCTCATGAAGAACGTGTGCTACAGTCGAAACATTGTACTCACTTTCAGATCTTTGATTCGTGCTTGATTCAATTCCAAAATCTGCTGTTCATACTGTTCCATTTGTTTCTTCAAGTCATTTGATATCGTATCATTATTTGCAAGGCGTTCTTTGTACCGCTGAAGGGCCTGTTCGGTCTCGTCAAAACGTATTTTCAACTGATTTAATTCATTCTCTTTGCTATTCAACATTTCTTTCGCCAATCGTAGATCCATCTTGTTCGTATCGCGTTGCTGCGTGATTTTCTGTAGATTTGTTTCGAGTTTCAGTCGATATTCTTCGTATTGACTGACGGCATTTTCATAATTTCGTATACGAGTTTGTAAATCATCGAGATTCTGCTTTTGGTCTGCTTGTTGTAATTCACGAAGTTCGTTTGTTAGTTTTCTTTCCATTTTGTCGTAACTTTCTTTCAATTGAAGTTTTTCTTGATCGAGCTGTTCGATAGTTTGTAGGAGATTTTGATTTTCATCTTCGAGTCCTTTACAATTGTTGAGCAACTCTTTCTGTTTCGAATGTAAATCAGAATAATCATGTTTGAGTTGTTCGAATTCTTTCTCCACATAACACAATCGACTCTTCGCATCGTCTAAAGGCAGAAAAGAGAAATGTTAGTTCGATTTCCACATTCATTCCACATACCATTCGCACGCAATCGATCAAGTTCGATATTTAATTCATTAATCGTTTTCTCGTGATTGATTTTCATTCGTTCGATTTCTTTTGCTTGTTGTTCTAAATCTTGATCATATTTAAATTTCAATGTCTGTTGATCTTGGGTTTTGAATTGTGTTATTTTGTCGCTATAATCTCGTTCGAATGTTCGACGCAGATCTTCTAATTTAAGTTTGATTTCATACTCATATTTCGCACGGAGATTATCTTCAATCGAGTTCTTCTCCTGACAAACATCTAAGCGAAACAATGAGTGAAGAATCGACTTCGATAACAAAGCTTTTCACTTACCGATATACAACTGCTTAGTCTTGTCTAGATCGATAATATCTTCGCGTAATTGTTCAATAATGGTTTGCATTTCTTGCTTTTCGTATTCATATTTCTCTTGTAGACTCGCATATTCTTTCTTTAATTTTTCAATTTCTTTTGTGAGACTATGAATTTGTTCCATATGCACAGTGCTGGATACGACCATTTCCTCCACACTTGAACTGCTTTGACGTTGCAATTCTTGTATTTGCCGCTGTAAATCTTCATTGATTTCAATCAAATGTTTCTCATTCGAGGCGAATTCATCGATACGTTCTTTCAAGTGCTGATTTTCAATAGTTAACGAGTCATTCGGATTCTCAACACTAGTTGAATTGTGTGGAACAACTTGTCGATTGATACTAAACAAGCGAACGAATACAAAAGCGATTTCTTCAACTTACATTTCAAACCTCGATAATTCATTAACACTGATGTTTGATATACCAAATAGATCATTGTTTACTTCATGCTCTGTCACGCCAAGCCGTTCGCGTAATGTTCGAATTTCGGACTAAAAGTAAATTTGAATTGTAAAGTGAAGTAATAACATTTGCATATCGCCTACCCATGTGGTTAACATAATATCATACTAATACAACTTTGATTTTTGTCTCTCTCTCTCTCTCTTCTCTCTAGCTTGTCAACTCAAATCCAAGACTAGTTATCAATTTTTTAGATCAATGGAGTAGACACGAAAGAAACCGATAACTTTTCTTTATAAAATTTTACGGTAAATCAGCGTTTTTAAGATATGAGACATATACTAACATACGATTTCTAATGACTACCGTTTGAGTGTTATCTTATCTAAGATTGTAGTATCTTTGAAATATGTTGGGTTCTACTCGTCTATAAGAAACATGGCTTCTGCTCGAAGTTAAGTTAGTTCGACGTCGAAATTATTGACTCATTATTCAATTTAGAGAAGTATTTTCGAACACGCAAGATTCGCTACATGCTGTGAAACGAAATGTTTCTTCTACTGATCATCTTTATCGGTGGATACCTGAAATTCTTGACATGTGAGCTCGAGTTTGTCTTTTTCTTCAGTTAAACGAGTTAATTGTCGTTTATGTTCAGTTTGATTAAATGTCTCCATCGATTTACTGGTCAATAATTCCGTGTATTGCCGTTGACACTCATGTAATTGTTGGTTCAAATGACTAATCGATTCCATACGTTCGAAAATAGCCTGAACAGAAGAACAAGAGTCATTCAGAGTATTAGAATTGGTCTTCGTACCTTTTCGTTGTTTTTACATGCAGTTTCTAATTGAACACGGAGTTCATCGACTTCCATCGTCTAGAAATACATCAAATTTCGTATGTATGATCTATGAATTATTCTACCCGAACCTTCTCTTGTAGATTCATTTGTGTGATTTGTAGTTTTTCATTGAGATTCAACATTTCTTGCTCATGCTTTTCACGTGTACTAGCCAGAAGAAGTTCACAATCTTGTTGTGTGCGTGCGATCGAATCGAATCTTTGCAATTCATTCACTTTGCGGTGAAGAGAATCAATCAATGACTCTGCATCATCCAATTTTTGTTCCAACTAAAACAACGCATCGTAAAACAAAACAAACACAGTTGTTCGAAATCTTACTTGTGTTTTAGTTCCTTCTAGTTGTTGAATGCGCAATTCGGCATCTTTAATCGTCCGTTGTAATTGATTATTTGTTTCGATCAACTCTTCACACTGTCTGGTTATCGATTGATAACGTTGCTCGTAATCGTATTTACCCCCTATAAAAAAAAAACATCACGTCGAAGAAAGTCTACAATGCAATTCAGTTCGATTCGCTCACGATCGCTCAATTCAATCTTGTGTTTGAGAGCGCGTAGTTCACTGTTGTATTTTTCATGATATTGAGCACAACGATTTTGTAATTCGGTGACTTTGCGATCTTTGGCGTTGCATAGAATTCGGAATTTATTGAGTTCATTTTGTGCATCGGAAGCATTTAATGCTGAGGTTTGATACATGAATTGAGCTTGCATAGGATCAATCAGATCTATCGTAGGTAATGCATCAAAGTATTGAACAGCTGTTGCGGCTGCATGATTTAATTGACGATTAGGATTCTGATAATGCACCAAAGCTGAACTTTTCGACGATAAAAATGGAATATTTTGTTCAGTTTTATTATGATCATCGAATGATTGTTGATAACGCGGTTGAGTGTATTGAGTATGATCATCAAACTGACCGAACAAAAAGATGTTATCAAAAGGAGAAGATATATACATGTGTAGGACATACTCGACGAACATCTGTTGAAGTCGATGGTGGAACTAATGGCGGCGGAGTAGATACAGCTGGAGTGGAATATAATGGTTGCTGATACAGATGATTTCGGTACAATAATCTTAATTAAAATGAAAGGAAGAACATGTTAAAGACGATTGTGACCTGTTTAAATGCAAGGCACTGAAGGCCCTCTATCATGATAGTTTTTGCGAGAACAGAAAAAGGTTCAGTCACAAACATTGACAAGTAAATGTACCATGAAGATTGAACACTCTTTGGTGTAGATGGGTGTGAAATGAAGTATAACGTTTTTAATGGCGAAACAGAAAGTATCTCGACAATCATGCTACCGTTTGTTTGTTTTGACAAATCCTTCAAAGTGTCTCACGCCATACAAAAAATAACAAATTCTTTCAAGCGTATGAAAAGATCTGTAGGGTCTACCTTTCAAGAAACCTCAAAATAGTATGTAATCAAGTCAACTTCAAGCATCTATATCTTCTCTTATACAAACAAACAATCAATACTCACTCGTGTTGTTGTTGTTGCTGCTGCTGTTGTTGATGTTGAATATAATTTTCATTGTTATTGTTATTATTATTCGTATTTAATACCTCATGTTCATTCGATTGATGATGATGTTGATCAGCATTGGATGTGTTGAGAGATTCATCATCATCATCGTCGTCCTCATCGTCCTCATCTTCGCCATCCGATGGCTCTTCATGCCCTTCAAAAGCAGCCATGATCAATTCGACAATCTAAACGTTGTAAAATTGTTTTTCGAAAATATGTTTTCGTATTTTGTCACGAACTTCGTTTTGATTCGTTTGTTCATGAACTATATCTTCATGATCCTCTTCATCGAAATCATTTCCATTGAGGCCAATCGTATCAGGCAAAAACATACTAACACCTGAATTAAATTCCATTTTGAAATATTTAGTTCACAATTAAACAACTAGCACCATGAATGTTTCTTTTTTTTTTCTTCTCTTTTCTTAACCGCACTTCTTTTTCATGCAATTTTCTCGTCTGACCTTGTTACCGTAGTTACCGTCGGTAAAGACGAATGGCAAGATAAAATTGTGTTTCAAAAAAATTTGATTAGATTTTCAGTTTCAAGAAGTCTTTTTTATGGAAATTTTCAACAAATTTGATCTTTTCAGCGACATCTATCGATGAGAGCTATTGAACATCTTAACTTAACTAATCATGGATTATTAATTTGTTGAGATTGAAAATGATTTTAAAAAGGCACTTGTACAGGTTTTAACTCATGAAGCGACAAACAAAGTCAAAATGCGTCAATCTGCTCGAATTGTTCGCTCTGTTCTTTTATGACTAATAGTTAAAACAGAGAGAGAGAGAGATAATTTAGTAATCTTGCATAATAAAAAGTTTTAACTAAAAAAAACGAATTTGGTCCCTATGAGGATCGAACTCATGACCTCCGCGTTATTAGCACGGCGCTCTAACCAGCTGAGCTAAGGGACCACGGTTCTGAAATGGCAGAAATGATGAATCGACACGAATTATTCTAATAGCACTCTGTTACGTTAACACACACGTTTATTATTGATGATTGCATGCTGTTGAAAATCGATCTCTGAGATTATTTTGATTTATATCATGTTCCAGTAGAATGCATCGTCAAGATTAGCCCATAAATCTCTCGCGAGCGTGTAAACTACACTAAATTTAAAACGACCTGTGGGACGATCTTCGCACTTCTTCCCCTTCTTATGTAAAAGATGTCAGGCGTTTGTCTTGGCTAAGAGAAATCTCTCTAAGATGAGGATTATCCATGTGCATATAGTGTTCATCAGAATCAAGAGAGTTAATTTTCTTTTCTAGTGATGATTGCGAAATGAACCGGAACCATGTTGGCGATTTCCTGTCTCTAGCACTTCATCCTCGTCACTTATCAATAGCAATAAATGGTCCAATGAACGCACATGCGTATCTCTACATTCAGTTAATATCACTATTGTCTCTGTTTGAAGTGTCATGCCGGGCACACGTCGCGTTTTTTCTCTGTATTAACACAATCCAGTGTAATCTTTTTCATCGAGAAGATGTTCATCGAAGAACACAGAGCAAATTAAAGGTTACTGATCATTTACATACAATTAGAATAGTAAAAATCGACTCGTTGGCAATATTGGCCTCTCCTGAGAACGAGTAGAAACGTTGGTGGAAAAAGTTCATTAACTAAACTTTTCTCTGGTAGTTATCAAGTTGAAATTTTTTGTCGTCTCTTCATATCTTCCCAAAGATGACATTGTTCTAGAACGACCTTGCTATTGACTACACAGGAAATTAGTCTTTTATGGAAATCGCAGCTGAATTTTTCTTTTCAATAAGGGCATCATTATTTCCTTTCTTCTTTTGTATAACATACAAGTAACACTATCATCATTATCGATACTTATGATATAATGAACTAAGTTCTTGGATCTATTCAACGAGTGAACAAATTCGTTTATTCATACAATTTGGTAGAGCAAAAAAGGCATGCAAGACAAATGAATGAGACAATTAGAATTCGAAATCATCTGAACGAGGAAAACGCTCGGCTCATTCGTCGAGATTTTTCATTTGTTTTTCATGTGTGGAACTCAAGACGAGCGTGTGTCAATGTCCGGAACCTCAATCTGTTGAACACATAGTCAAATATAGACATCGGAGTGCGTGTGTATTTAGTTTTCAATGACGCATTAGAAGAGTAAAGATTGCCTCGGGTAAATCTCCTTGTTGACAGTAACCTTTGATTACAGACATTTATTTCTAATATAATCACTACCTGACAGTGAACTAGAAGAAGAAATGAGTCCGATCTAAGTTCCTATTAGACGTACAATTTTGTACTTTTATGATTTTCTTTATTCTATGATTCGCTCTCGATGTGTGCGATTGCCATTTCCTCTTTATCTACGCTCTTGTCTCCTGCGAAGAGAAGGAAAGAGAGAGCGAGAGAGCGAGCGAGGAAATAGAAGCAGAGAAATAGATAGCACAACCCGTCATATACACATGCGAGCATCGAAATGATCCATGATCGGAAATGACACACTTAACAATACTTTTTTCTTCAATTTATTAGAAGTCATCTTCTTTTTATTGTCCGAGTATTTTTACGATTACCTGCATGATGCGATAAGTGAAAAATCATGGCTGATGTTGTTCATCGTATCAATGAACTAACACATACGCGTCTCTCATGGTTTGGTTGTTCAGACGATGACTCTTGTAACCGTCTCAATCATCGTCACACTGTTTTGATCTTATTAATCTTCTCAGCTATTTTAACTTCACGTTTATTCATATCAGATTTAATTATTTGTTGGACACCGGGTGAATTCACAGGTAAAATAGAATGACTTCTTCTGCGAGTGATTGACAGATCAATCAAAATTAAAGAGACAGAAATGAACGATAGCGGTCTAGATGTCTCAAAGCATAAACAATCCATGACAGATTTGACACATATCATTGATGAGCATGTTCATTATGAGGAAGATAAATGGACTCGAGCTTGACATGACATTTACCATGATATCTATCTATCTATCTCTCATCATTCAAATCCCTTTGGCAGCGATCTGCACTTTAAATCTTGTATGGATTTTTCAGGTAATTTTGTTTCCTACACACGGCATTATTGTTATGTAACCAATACTTATTATATATCAGTCAACGAAACGATTCCGACATTAAGTAATGCTCATATACGTCGAAAGCGTTCAATCTATTATTACCAATGGTTACCGATCTTGCTTGCATTTCAGTCCTTGCTCTTCTTAATTCCGCGTTTGATCTGGAGCAGTTTTAGTTCACGATGTGGCATCAATTTGCAGCATTGTCTGTCGCCCCAATTCGATTACCGTACAAGTCGTTATAAAGTTCACCATATCACAACGATGCTTCGTCTGCTGTCACGTGCTAAACAGCACGATTTCGATCGCATGACAGCGACCAATCCGATGAACAGGACAAGTTTAACCGCAAATATACATCTACTGAAAACGTTTTGTATTCCATTTTTATTTCTCAATGAAAATCCATTTCACGGTTATTATCTGGCAAATTTGTTTCTTGTTGTGAAAATACTTTTTCTAATTAATTCATCTCTACAATTAGTATTTTTGAATACGTTACTAACGAAGAATTCTATTTTTTATGGCTTGGAAGTTCTGGAAAATTTCTATCGAGGAGAATACATTGTCGGATCGCGGATATTTCCAATTAATGTCTATTGTGATTTTAACATCATCAAAATCGGTCAACCGACCCTCTATACTGTAAGGAGAACAAGAAAATCTCCAGTAAATATTCTTCTTTTGCTTCATTACAGGTTCAATGTTTGTTACCAATGAACGTATTTAATGAAAAGATCTTCACCATCATCTGGTTCTGGCTAGTTTTCCTTACTATAACCAATTTGAAAAGTGTTTTACTGACAATCCTGCGAAGTAATTTCCCTCAATTCAATTATGGTTACGTTACCAACTACTTAGATTTATACTCAAAGCGTGAACGTTTCAAACGCCATACGCTCGTTAAACGTTTTATATTCGATTATTTATCAGCCGATGGAATCTTAATTTTGAGATTAATCTCGGAAAATATCAGTGATTTGCTAACTAGTGAAGTGATCAATGAACTTTGGAATGAATACAAGAAGTTATCCAATCTGTCGCCGACCAATCGAGAACGATATCAACGTTTGAGAGGAACCAATTCTCCAGTAATCGATACAGTTCCATCAACAAAAAGTCTTCATTATCGTCATATGTTTCGATAAATAACTGACAAACTCTCGACAGTTATCAATGGTTTCTTTCTCTTTTGTTCGAATTATGGTTGTGATTGACATTCTGTTTTTTTTTTATCTTGACAATACATACATAGATGCGAAAGATTGTTCAATAAGTTTTTCATCTTCTCTAAGTGATACTTGATACTCGAAGAGAAATCGAATACTGTGTCCTTGATCGCACAAGCGTGCTTACTGGAACAATTGATTAAAGTCAACATATCGACGTCTTGGAGACAATCAATGATGATGGACGATCTTTGGACAATGTTGACATTTGTACCTGAATTGTTTACTGAGAAAATAATGTGAGATCGAGTCGTTGGAAATGAATCGATTCGAAAGAGAACGTCTAGAGACATCTGATCAAGTGAAAAGAATTGTAGTCGCTAAGTAACATTGTTCGGTTGTTAGTGAGAATGATAGAAAAGGTAAAGAGTCGTTAAAGAATCGAAGGAAAAATATTTGATCAACAATCAAATGAATATGGCCGAGTAAAAGAAAAGAAAACAAGTCTTTGTTAAACAAAATATTTTGTTTTCATCTTATCGCTGTTTATATGATCAACAATCAGAGACTCAACGTCTCAAAATATGACCCTCTATTAAAGATTCGTTTCTAGATAAGACTTGTTCGATGACATCGAAAACCGATCGATTCTTCGACCCAAAGGATGGAACATATGCCAATGTTCCCATCATCCCAGTTCATCGAGAGATATTTCGCGGAAAACGACCATATAATACCAAAGTTCTCATTAGAAATTGGTACGAAGATCGATCAAAGGTGAGTAAATATACAACTGTTAAAATCAAATATTTGTTATTTATTCAGTTTAAAGAATCACATCATCGATCAAAATCGTCCTCTGAAATAGCATATCCCGCTCATGTCGGTTCTGTACCCGATACCGTTTTCCGCCGTCGAGTCCTTATTTCAGCCGAACAACGACCGGACCGATTGATTCTTGATCATCACGACATTGATCATCAAAAACAGTTAATTAGCAGGTAAGTGAAGGCAACAATTCCTGTTCGTTTCCTCATCATTCTACGTTTAAATAAAGTTACGATGAACAGTACAACAGGCGAGGAGCTTATGGTGACCATCAAGTAAATTAACATAGAATCACAGATATACATTTCCGAGTGAATATATTCTAAAGGATGCATCGGAACGAAAATGGGCCCTACAGGATAATCATTGGTTACCCGAACGTAGTGATCATCCTTTGCAAAGCACGCCGACAAGTTGGGGTTTAGTGGACTTGAAACGTGCTCAAAGTCAATTTCTTCGACGACAGCGTACAATGCCTAATCTAAGGTATTTGTGTATCCTCTCGTTTTCGTTTCTTCTTCATTGTCTAAATTTAGTGAATATACAAACAATTATGTGCCTCATCGAACAGACGAATATGCCGTGGCAAAACGTGTTGGGATTCCACGAATCTATTCATCTGGCATTAATCGCGCTGACTCTCTGAACAATAATATTATTAATCGACGCGAACCACCTGTTCATGATCCAACGGATATCGATCACGTTTGTTCAATCCGACGAAATGCTCATGTGCCACGAGCATACTTTTACAATTCTCCGACAATCATTGAAAACTGTAATCGACCGCGACGAACAAGTTCCTGTCGAACTGAAGCCTACCTTCCGCTACGCTCAACGAATTTCTCGATCGAACCCATTCACAGTCAAGAAGAAATTGTCTAAATAGTCTTGCTGATACATTTCAACATTTATTTCTCATTTCTTTTAATAAAATCGATTCTAGACGCACTCAGCAATCTACTACGATAGTTTCTCGACAACTATTTATATCGAATGCTATGTGAATTACAAACAGAACAGAGGGAATGTTTATATATTTCCTCATATGAGAATATGTCCTAAGCGAGATATAAACCTGATGGACGAGATAGGCATTCTGATGGCATTTTTCCTCACTTGAAGTTCGCATTTTTAATTCCGAATACTTTTCTTCGCAGGTTACTTTATTTAAACTACCACCTCATAACAATACAGTTGAATATTGTGTTTTATAGTTACCTACTTGAACTCTTTTCTACTCCGTTTGATAGGTGAAACCTAGATGGATAGCGTACGGTTTGCAGAGGAAAAAAGCAGAGATTTGCTTTTTGATTTCATACAATTCTATGAAGAATCATTCTAAACATGCATGTCGTAAAAGTATCATTATCAAAAACACATGATCCATATGGTGCTTGAATAGCGAGACAGTTAAGAAAAATTCTAAACAATTCACATTTGTTGTAGTTCCATTAGCAAACTTCTATTTCGAACCTCTGTCTTGCGTCTTTAGTTTCTCTGAACATCGATCTGATATCTTTCTTTTTCAAATATAGATAATCTGCATACGTTCTTACTGTTCGATACATTAGGTATGGTGTATAAGTACACTATCTCGTTCGACATGTGAATGTAAAACTATCAGCAAATAATTTTCTGACAGTCATGTCCACGCTACGTTCCACGGATATATATGAATTATAATCAAGACAAAACATTTCAAGTCGTTTGATTGACAAGATCGCTTGTGGAACCGAATACCTTCAATTCTTGTCCAGATAAGTCGAGTACTTTTCATTTGGTAACCTCTTTATTTCTTTCTTTAAACTTTAAGCTTGTATGACATGCAATCGAAAGTTTATTAGATCACATACTGCGTATGAAAATGAAGAGCTAAATAAAAAGTTAGTAGCATAAATTTGAAAATATTCAAGGCGATTAGAGTGTAATAGTGCATTGAAACTTTTTTGGCTGCGGTGCACGGCGGAAACGTAAGGGTAATGGTTCATGAACTGCAATAACACGGGCACAATCTGTTACTTTCAACGCTTGCATTAACAACGTTTGAAGTTCATCGGAATTGATGGCAGATCCTATTTCGACAGAAGGATAATGTTAGTCTCACAGTGAACGACTCTTACCCATGGAAACTTCAGCTTGAATTACAAACATGCAAAGAAGAACGCACAAGAGAAGTCTTCTCGAAATCATTGTTGTGCTATTCTGTCACAGGATCAACATTGACAGTCATGTGCATGGAACATTTTCGTTCTAAATAAAATAGAAAAATGAAGCGAACAGTCGTTATTGCATGAAGTTGAATAGGGATTCGATGGACTGGTATGTATCGTAGCCGTATGCTTCTTTAAATAGCACTAAGAACACGTAAAAGCCGATAAGAGAAACAATGAAGCATATTTTCGGCTGAGATTCAATACGTGAATACATGTTTGAATATGAAAATAAAAAATCTCCCTCAAGAGTGGAGGAGTCAAATCCCATTGCTGTGGATTAAACCATCGTAGTAGTATTTAGTCGAAAATATGTTTGATATGTTGGCAAATAGACGGACATTTTTCTTTCATGAAATATGATTTTCTTATTTTCGATCATAATTCTGTTTAGTCTTGAATAAAAAAAAAGCAACGATTGACAGATGATACACTCGCGCGAAAAAAGAAATAAACAATGATGACACAAATAGAATAATAGAATCGATTAAAGCAATGGAACAAATGAACAAAATGCGATGGCTAGAGAGAACGAACAAGAATGAACAAGGAATAAATAGTGCAAACAATGTACAACACACACCCACAAATATCTGATGTTACACACATGGAATGCAGTTCGTTGGGAGAGAAGAAAGACCGTGAATATGAATGTGTATCTGACTGCTGAATTACACAAATTGATTCGCTTTTCTACGAGGACCATGTGTGATTCTAGAAGAAAGAGATATTTAAATAGAATGGTTAGCAGTTCGAATAAGACCTACTTCTAATAGTTCCGAATGTTGATGATCGAGGTGATTGAGAAAGTATTGTCGATCATTATTAACCGTATAGTCGCATTTTGAACATTCATAAACGATCGTACGAGTTTTTTGTTGAACTACAATACAGAAAACGAAATGTGAGGAAATTCATCGGTTGAATGATCCTACTTGTAGTAAATTGTTTGATTAATGGATTATTTTCTAACCAGTGTAATTCTAAAATATTGAGAAGAGAAGTGTTTGATTTTGAAGAGAGAAAATATTTTCTCGACATACCATAGTCAAACATTTGTTCATCGAATTGAATATCTCGAGTTTTTTCCTCCTAGAATCCAATCAAACGAATAAGAGGGAAACAATCAATTGCAACAGATCTCTTACGTCTTGGTCATCATCATCATTTTCGATATCACTATCATTCGTTGATGTTTTCTGTTGCTGAAAATCTTGTTCGAAATTGTGGTTACATTTCATTGATGCGTGTGCTTTTCGATGAACAAGGAGATCCGATAGATCTTCCGCTTCATAATCACATTGACGACAACGAAGATGGTTATTCTGCGAACGAGAATTATTCGAAATACGCTTTTGTTTCACATCGCCTTCGTCCTGTTGATGGTTTTCATCGACAATGATCAAACTATTGTTTTCATCATCTTCATCATCATCTTCTTCAACGATTTCCTCTTCGTCATCGTCCATTTCCGATGATTTTTGTTGTTGCTGTTGCTGTTGCTGTTGTTGATGGGCGAAAAACGAAGACATTTGCATGGCGGCTGCCGCAAACGCAGCAGCATTTTGCTTATCAGACGGCACACCTTTATTCACATCATTATTTCCAATGACAAGGCCAAGACTCTAGAAATAGTTTCACTGTGAACTTTTTTCTTCTCATGAGCTGAAGAACTTACCTCCATAACTTTCGCCATCGCTTTTCGACCAACTAGAACTGGCCCGTGGTGATTACAGAGACGCATGTGTTTTTTCACGTCACATTTCCATTTCGATTTGTAATCACAATTAAAACAATGATACGGACTTTCCGCTGAATGAACAATTAAATGCCGACGCAATTCTGCCATAGAATTCGCGGCGAATGGACATTGTTGACAGGCTAATGTTCGATCGCGTGTGTATTTCACTGAGGATAGTTTTTGTTGAACATCGAGACCGAAGAAACTATAATCTTCATCGGTTAAAGGAGCTGGTGCCAATGCTCGATCATCAGTGCCCTCGTGTTTCGCTTTCAATGTTGTTTGAAACAGATATTTGTCGGGTAATTCGACGATCTTTGCAGCATCGTGTGCATGTTGTTTCTTAACATGTTTCTAGAAAAGGAAGTTTCTCGTATTTCTTCTATAATCGATAGAGGTAAAAAGACTTACTTGAACATCCCATTTCCAACTTGATGCATAGGGGCAAGCAGAGCAATGATAAGGTTTATCTCGTGCATGATGACATCTCATATGTTGAATTAATTCACTTCGCCATCGTCCACGATAATCGCACCAGCGGCATTGAAAATTTCTTTCCTCCTTTTCAAATTTTCGTTGTTGTTGTTGTTGTTGCTGCTGCTGTTGTTGCTGTTGTTGTTGATGATGGTTTCGTAGATGATTATTGCCACCATTGGCTGCTGCCACCATTGCAGCGACGGCATGCATGCGTTGTTGCTGTTGTAAAGGTGATGATGTTCGCGGTGATGACGATCGTGATGAATTTGGCGATTTGGTCGTCCGTTGGACAAATGCTGATGCTTGTTTGAATAAATCTAAGCTGGCATTCATTGACATTTGAGTTGGCCGCGGTGAAAAGTTAAATTTCGGTTGAAGTAATAAAGATGAATTGAGAAAAGATGAAAACATCGGATGATGCGGGAAGAACGATGGTGGTGGAAAGAACATATTGCCTGTTGTAGTCGGTGGCGGCGGTGGCAAGAAATTTGATAAGGATAAATTTGATGGGTTCTTTTCATCATCTTGTTTCATACGTTTTGCCAGTTGTTGAAAATCCTCATGATCCGACGTTGTTGAATGTTGACTTTGCCTGTCATCGTCATCGTCGTCGTCGTCATCGCCACGAATGGAAGTTTTTTTCATCGTTGATGCTGATGATACAGATGAACAAGTAGAATGATGGTCGCTCGCTTTTGTTGCTGCTGCCGCTGCTGTTGGAGGAGGAGCGAGATCCATCATTGAACGAGCTTGGTCGCGATCGCGTTTTTTATATGGATTGATTAAATTAACACCTTTGCCGCCAGCTGCATGTGCACGATCCCAGTGTTTAGCTAAATCCCAACGCCATTTGTAAGTCAATGAACAAACTAAACATTTGAATGGACGAGATGTCGAATGCGATGCGGCATGCTTTTGAAGTTCTGTTGGCCAACGACCAACAAAGTCACATTGAATACATTTTAATGGGTTGACAGGATCACTCAAGTTCCATTCTTCGTTTTGTTGAGCAACATTCGTATTTCGTGGTGGCGATTTGCCAGCGATTTCGTTTTCTAATTCGACTAAGTGATACTTCATAAAATGTTCGTTAATTGATTCCACAGCAAGAAAACGTTGTTCACATATGGAACATATGAAGACTTTTTGTCCATAAGGATTCGGTGGACTGGACGAGGATGCATGTTCCGAATGACTTTCGTCGTCACTATCATTTTGATTATAATGCGAACTATCACGTTGTTCATCATCACTACTATTGCTATTACGATGTAGTTTCTTAGCGGGAGGATTCAATTCGGATTGAATTGGCGACGATGATTTCTTGTGAGATTTAATAGTTAAATCTAATGGAGCATTTGACGATTGCTCGTTGGTTGTTGAAGGAAACATCTGTTGAAAATCATTGCGTGTGGTGAAGTTTAACCAGTATGGATTGAATGGAAATGCAGGATGATGAGTTTGAGAAGGTGGTGGAGCGGGAAGATTCATGGATGTATGTGGGAGCATTTCACTGACTCGATTAGCTGGTTTCAATTGAATAGCTGCACTTGATGTCGATGATTTCGGTGGACGAATAGTAACTGGCGCGTCAAGTGGAGGTGGACTTTCGTCGTTATGTTTTTCTTTCCAATGTTTATTCAAACTTTTTCTCCATTTGTATAAATTACCACATAATGAACAGGCAAATTTGACTAAAGGAAAATGAACGCTTGACTCAATGTCATCTCGTGAGATCGGTTAACTTACTAGCACTAGCATCGTCTGGATCGGGCACACGACGGTATCTCGCAGGATCGACAGAGACGTTGTATGGACGTTTTCTATCAGGAGCAACGAGTGTTTGTTGTGTTGTAGTTGAATGCGATGAAGTAACGGATAGATTAAGTTTCTTGTTTGTGCTAGTTGAAGGATTCTATACGAGAAGAGAGAAAAGAAAAATAGAGAGAGAGAAAAGAGAGCAGAGAATCGTGACTATGGATTGGTTGATGAAAGAGTGAAAGTGAGAAGGTGCCCGCAAGAGAGAGACAGAGAGAGATCACTGGCATCTTATTTTATGAGTGCCCAATAATAACAACCATGACCGAAAAAAAATGATCTTTCGAGCAGGTGTCAGTGAGCAGAAAAAAAAAGAAAACAGAACTGTTTCTGATTGTTAGAGCCTTCTACACGAATCAAATCAAAGAAAAATATCTCATGATATAGTGTTAAAATAGAATTACATGCGTGAGCGCAAGTTCTCATATTCTCAAGAGAAGACATTTAGAGAAAACGGAGAGACACGTGTGTGTATTTTATCATTGAAACATCATCGTTTTAATCGAAAAAAATGGTCTGTGCACCTGCGAATGATAAGAAAATGAATTGATCTGTTCACATTCTGTTTTACTTGTTGTGTTGTTTTATTATTTTAACGATGAAGAAGACTGAATAAAAACGAAAGGTTTCACACATCATTACTGATTTTCTCTCTCGTGCGAGAAATTAAAAATTCACTTCAGATTAGTGTTCTGACATGGACACATAAAAATTTGATCCATTTTTATGATCTCGAATGGAAGTAATTAATCAAACGCTTCTGCTGAATGCGATTGAAAAATGAAACTTTTGAAATATGCATAAAATCAGAGTTCTAATCCGATGAAGTTTTTTTATGCAAATCTCTTGTAATAGTAACTGTCTGACTGCTGTTTTTCTTTTTACTTGAAAAGAAAGCGAGACATTTGCATTTACGGAGAAGAATGATAATTATCATAAAGGTTCGTTTCGTTCGCTGTTCGATGATGTCATGAAGAAATTTCTTGTTTCGAACGACTAAAGATCAAACAAGAAGATCGAGAAAAGGCAACTGATGTCGACATACTTAACGACGATCAGTTTTCAAGTGGATATATGGTAAAACAAGTGTCAACTTCAATCAGAAGATCAAGTGAAGAAAGATATTTAATATCCGATTAAGTCTTTTCTTCGACACAGAAGTTCACGTTTTTTTCTCTTCTCCTCTCTTCTTTAGAGAAAGATTGTAATTGAAATCAATTTATGCAGGATTCGATTCATATCGAATTCGCTCATCTCGCGTACGGTTGTTTCTTTCGTAAGAAGAAAACAAGTCGATATGTTACTATTATCTCTTAAACGAATGATTTCGATTACGAGAAACTCAATACGATAAAACAAAAGAAAGAAAGGCTTTTGTCGATTACACGCTTCTTCTGTTTTAGTATACGTTACACGTCTATTCGAAGCATTTTTCTCGAACAGACATGCGAATCTGATTGGCAATGTGACGCGCAGAATGAATTGCTTACTTGTTCGTCATCGGAAATTTGTTCATCGTGTTCGAAGATCATGGAATTTTGTTCTTTTGCATAAATATTGATAGAATCGTCATCTTCTATCTCAGCTTCGGATTCTACATGTTGGCCGTTCGAGGACAAACTCGATTTGACTGTTGTTGCTGTCGCCGGTTCGGTGGACGACGATGATGATGACACTGCTGTCAATGGTTGATTGTTTGTTCTAAGAAAATCATATAAGCAATTAATCAAACTACTTTTTGCACTGAATAAAAAATTCTTACTGATGAGAATTTAAATGTAGTTGATATTCAAATGAAGACAATGAATAGTATCGACAGATATCACACAGAAACACTTGCTCTTGTCTATGCTCGACTTTCATATGGGTTTTAAATTCGTTAATAATTGATGAAGAAAAATCACATTCTTCACATTGACGAACAAGTCGGGAACGTGGAGCTAGTTGTTTTCGTCTAAAGATTGAAATTATTTATCAGAATTTTTCCGACAGAAAATATTCGACTTGATTGCTAAATAGTATGTCTTGTAAAGGTGTAATTATCTCATGGTTTGATTTTCAATTAGACTAGCAAGAATCATAAATGCACTCAAATTCATAACTGTTATCTTTATAGATGTCGTCAGACGTAGTATTCAAAAACAAGAACTTCTTATCGTTGAATTTCTTCTGATTGACTTCACTCGTCGTTTCGAGGGAAAAGATATGTACAGTAATAGTCAAAGTACTTTGAGCGTAAATATAGTTACATTCGAACTTTCCAGGTACATTTTTGTGTTCCTGTGTGGCTATAACTATTACCTGCTACTTCTACCGGCTGTTTCTCCATGTGTCAGTTTTTTCATATTGTTTTGGCTGCCATTGTTATTATTTGAATTTGACTTGTCCGATTGAGCATCACAATCACTGGAATAAACAAAGAGAATATATCAGCATAACACTTGTCTAACGCATTATCAGTATTATTGTTGATATCGTATCTTATTTAGGTAATGATCAACAGAGAAGGAAGAGAGATCCTCGTATGAAGGCAAAGGTGTTGTTGAATTTTCAAGATTGAATGTTTATTTAACATACACTCGTTTGATCAAAGATGAAACATTCGAAGCTTCTCCCTTCTTATTTGCTTTTTTTTCGGAAACATTCAAATCTGATGGACGAAAACAAAAGTAAAACGAAAGATTTTAATCTTTTCACATCAACAGTCATTAAGCCCAACGGCGGCAGAGACACCGATGAAGCAGACACATTCACATGTAGAGAGGTCGATTGAATCAAATGATAATTCATATGGTCAGACATCGACCAGGCATGACATTAGACTTTACTCTCCATTTCTTTTCTCCCATTACTCTGTTGCATCGATTGGCCACCACTTTATAGTCAAAGAAGACACAGAGAGTGAATGACAACGCGAAGATTTCTTGTTCTCTTCTCTCTTCCCCCTCTCTAAATATATGTATATGTATGTGCACGATGCGATTATAGGGGCGTCACTGCGACAGGTAAAGAAAAGAGAGACGATCGTTCACGTTAGCTCGTTGATTGAAGATGGTAGAGAGAAAAGAGACATTCTTTATCTAGTACCGATATCAACAAAAATGCCCCCGAAAGGCATTATTATACCGTTCGATATGCATCAGTAGTTTCACAGAGAAAGCAAAAGCGAGGAGACGACGACGAAGATGAAGAAGAGACAAAAACGAAAGA